GGGGCGGCTGCTCCAGGGGCGGCTGCTGCAGGGGCGGCTGCTCCAGGGGCGGCTGCTGCAGGGGCCACGTAAGGGGCAGCGAAAAGCGGGGGGGGGGGGGGGGGGGGGGGGCCGAAAGGGGCCGCGAAGGGCTGTGCAGCGGCGTGGGGCCGCGCAAGGGCCGCGACGGGCTGGAAAGGGCCTCAAGGGGCCGCGATGGGGCCGCGACAGGCCGCGAAGGGGGGGGGCGCAACGGGCCGCTAGCAGGTGGCGTGCGGGCTGGCAGGAGCCGCGCGTAGGCTGCGCATGCAGCTGGCGGGTCGCGCGGGCTGCTGGCGGGCTGCGCGCGGGCCAGCAGAGGCAACGCGCGGGTCGCGCGCGCAGTGAGCATGCAGCGCGCGGGCCAGAAAGAAAAGCGACGCGCGGGTCTAGCGGGCCGCGCGCGGGCAAAGGCAGGGTGTGCGCGGTAGTGCGCGACGCAGGGCAGGGTAGACAAGGTGCGGTTGTAACGTGATAACAGTAGTGTGGGCCCGAAAAAAAAGATTTCCTAAGGTCCTAAGGACCTCCTGCTCTATACCATGTCACAATAGTAGGTCAAAAGTGGACTAGGGTGTCGAGTGAGTTTGGTACAAGGAAGAACCCTAACGTGTTGTACCCCTAATAGTCTACCCCACTACAGCCTACCCAACTTTATAACATACATAAATATGTTTGATACAGCGCATGGTTGTTTCTGCTTATCTCATTTCGTTTTGTTGTGAATGTGATTACCGTTCTGTACCAATTTTCTCGTCTGTGTGCCAATTTTGTCAATGGATTTGCGTATCTAGCGATGCGATCGTTCACCCGATCTGCCACGCAGCTGAGCTGTCAGCAATTGTTGCTTGGCGTGACATGTGAGCATCAGGTACACGAAACTTTCACATGAAACTTTCACCACGAAATTGCAAATCAGATTCAGGACTCTCGCAAACAGAAAACAGTGCGTGTTGCAGATGTTTTTACAGTGAATCAGCATCGAAGTCTCCCATTCTGTACAATAGATTAGCGATAACTTACATGTGACGAGATTTTGCCGTAAAAATCCCGTAATCACGCAACCGTTTCCTCAGCGTAACTGGAAGATGTTCTCGACGAACGAGTGTATTTAGATGTCCCAGCTGTTGAAGTATGCGTTGCTCACGTTTTGGAACTCCACTGCCATCTCGGAAGTGGGCATATAGAAAGGAAACTTCTAGGAAACTTTGCTCCAATAAGCGCGCAGAGTGTACCCTCGATACAAGTCTGAGGCTCAGCCTACACTTATAAAAGTAGGCTGAAATTTCAGACAACTCATTAAAAAAAAAAAAAAAAAAAAAAAAACCTCTGAAAAATCAGACAAGGTACATAAGAAAATTCTTAGACTTCAGACTAGGTAAAAAAAAAAAGTCTGAACGGACTCCGAATCAGACTTTAAAGTCTGATATCTAGGGCACTGGTTGGTAAGCTCTTAAAGTTGATTAGCTTGTATGGAACTCATACTCCCCCCTATGAGAGAAACACCCTGTCTTAGCAGAGTGAGTTTATATACGGCACTGGTATGTCTACTATCGAGGAGGTGACATTAATATAAACAGGAGAACTCATTACTTCACTCCAAATACCCAATGTTATAAGGGCAGGGGACTTGCCATGGTCACGGCATCACCACTCGCCCAGGTTCATGGCCACAAATCCGCTGTACAGCCGCCCATTGGTCGCTCTGAGCTCGTTGATGAGGCGACTCCAGTTGGACCCTAGCGACCCGATGAAGAAGTCGCACTGCGATGCGATGAGCAAGCTGGCCAGGCTGGCAGCGGGCGACTGCAGCGCGTCATACGCGTGTGGGTCCAGCGCACCCTCTGGCAGGCGCCCGTTGGTGGCGTAGAGGAAGGTCCACCCCGCATAGAAAGACGTGGATGCCTCGTTGATCACCGACTGCACGGGGGTGCGAGAGAGAGAGTGAGGAAAGGGGCCACCCCTCTAATGGTTGCTTGTCCCGCTCACCACGGGCTGCATGCCAATCCTCTCACTACGCTTGCTGCACTTAGTGCCCAACCAAGTGTTAAGATAATAGGCATAGCTAGGACTAGGAGCCTAGGGTTTAGGGTACACCGAAGAGAAATAGGAGAGAAGGGGCTTGAACTAGAAAGGAGGGAGGTACAAATAGCAAGCCCAAAAGGGTTATACTCACTATTGAGTACCCCACTACAGACTAGACAAGCATTATATTCTGACACATCCCCATAGTCAAAGTGGGGTATAATCAGCACAGCAAGCAGTCATAGAGCAGGTTCACAAGTTCAAGCAAAGCTAGAGGCAGTCACACAGGGCAAGTGAGGAGGAGGAGTGACTGTGAGAGGAGAAGAGATGGGAGGCGACTGCTGAAGCTGCAGACACACGGGCCACAGGAGCGGCTGGCTCAGTTGCTACCGGAGCAAGGGCCCCGGACTACAGGAGTAACAGGCTCAGGCAGGAGCAACGGACCCACGGGCGACAGGCGCAGCAGGCTCTCTGGGCTACCAGCGGCAAGGGCCCCGGACTACAGGCGCTGCAGACAACAAGACTGCTACCTCCACTCAACCTCCCCCAACTATCCCACCCCCTTTCACACACCCCTTGCTGCACCCCTAGCTCCACTCACACGTCACCCCTCTAGCACCACTCCGTTGGCTCCCACACATCCACCCCCCTCAGCGGCAGCTGCAGCAGTGGGAGACGGAGGAGGAGGAGGAGGAGCAGGGGACGGCTCACACACACGGCACCCCCATACCCTCCACCCCCAAACCCTAACACAGGAACACGAGCAGTAGCGGGGGTGGGGCGCCGGCAGAAGCTCGGGGGACGGACGAGGCGCGCGCACGGGCCTGCAGCAGGACGGACGAGGCGCGCGCGGGCTGCCCGGGCCGCGCGCGGGCCTGGCGCAGGCCGTACGGGCCGCGCGCGGGCTGTACGGGCCGCGCGCGGGCCTGGCGCAGCCCGTACGGGCCGCGCGCGGGCCTGGCGCAGCCCGTACGGGCCGCGCGCGGGCCTGGCGCAGGTCGCGCGGGCCGCGTCGGGCGACGGGGGGCGACACGCGGTTCGACGGGGCAGAAAACCGCCGCGCGCCCCGAGCGCGCGGCGGGAAGAAAAAAATCGCCGCCACCTGCTCCCTTTGCGCCCATTGCCCCTCTCTGCCTCCACATAACACCCTATCCTCACTCTCCCTCTCGCACCCCTTCCCTCCCACCCTTCCCCCCCACCACCCGCAGGCAGTGATCTGTCGGAGTGAAAGGCCCCGCCCTCGCTTGGGCGCAGGCATTCTCCGCTACGACGTGGTGAATTCGACGAAGTGATCGTCGCATTGGATCAGCCCGTCCTCTGAAACCGCGGGTGGTTTTCGAGGAAGGTTGTCCTCTGATTCACCAGCCCGTCAACGAGCTCTGGTCGACGGGGTGCTGTTCGACGAGCTCGTCTTCTGATCTGCTTCTGGGTCGCGCGATCTCTGACGGACGGGGTGCTGTCCGAGGAGCCGCGTTCTCTGATCGAAGGGCGCTGTTCGGCGAGCGTCAGCTCGGCGAACTGGTCGGCCGAATTCGCGCGACTGCGAAACTCTGCGAGGGCATGCGAAATTCGCTCAGGTGGCTCTTAGCGAAATTCGACCTCCGAAATGGCATCACGTGCTCGACGGCGGACATCTGACGAAACCGTCGGAGCGTTTTCTACCTGGCACCTGCGCAATGTCTCTGACGGTGTAACCGTCTACCTGCACCTACTCGGCAGGTGCACACCTGCGCAGATATTCACCTGCGAATGCAGCGCTGGCAGGCCGCCCTGCTGCAGCGCTGGCATGTCGCCCTTCTGCTACGCTGGCAGACCGCTCTGTTTCAGCGTTGGCGAACCGCTCTGATGCAGTGCTGGCAATTCGCATTGCAGAATGGTTGCTAGGGATTCCAATGCCATTCCAGTGATATCGCTTTGCATGCTCATTCTTGTACTCTAATTCTCAATTTTCAATGTACTTTCAATTTCCTTAGTGGAAACTCTTGCCAAATTTCTCTGTGAACAGAGCAAGTAGTGAGAACTCTGTTGAAACGCTACTAGAGCGCTACGATCACCCACACAACTCCGTGCCCTCCTTCGTAGTCCACTCCCGTTGTAGGGTGACTCTCCGCATGATCAACGAGGCAGCCACACCTCTCTACGCGCCCTGGACCTTCCTCTACGCCACCAACGGGCGCCTGCCAGAGGGAGCACTCGACCCACACGCGTATGACGCGCTGCAGTCGCCCGCTGCCAGCCTGCTCATCGCAGCGCAGTGCGACTTCTTCATCGGGTCGCTAGGGTCCAACTGGAGTCGCCTCATCAACGAGCTCAGAGCCACTGGCGGCCGGCTCTACTGTGGGTTTGTGGCCATGAACCTGGGCGAGTGGTGATGCCATGAACCTGGGCGAGTGGTGATGCCGTGACCATGGCAAGTCCCCTGCTCTTATAACATTTGGATAATTGAAGAGGTAATGTCACCTCCTCGATGGTACACATACCTGTGCCGTAAATTTACTCACACTGCTAAAAAAGGGTGTTTCTCTCATAGGGGGAAGTATGAGTTCCATGCAAACTAATCGATTTTACGAGCGAACCAGCATACAGTATGCCATTGGATTCAGAGGATTGAATTGACATGCGTCCATGCACACATGGGTGAACGACAATCTGACTTGAGAAAAGGAAGAAGATGCTTCTGGTCTGGGATAGCAAATGCTCTTCTTTACGAACTGAATAGCATACTACATAGTTAACACTACTGTTGATTACAGCAGTTCATTGAAATTGCAGTGCGAAAAACTAACACCACAGCTACCAGCTTGTGTGCTGCTCATTCACCATGTTTCTCTCACCACCACCATGACACCTCACAACTCCAACTGCTCACATACATGGTGCTTTTGCAGCACATGCCATTCAGCACACACCATGTACCACATGCCACATGACACCTATCATGTACCCCAGCATCGTTTATCTCAGCGGGAGTCGATCTCAATCCAAGCCCGCTGAATCCCACGCACTGTTCGTTCCACGAACCCGCACCCGCTTACCCCAAGGCGAGTCACCTTCCTTCCTTCCAGAACCGGCAGCAGCCAAGCATGCTGCATGTTGTTGCAGCCCAGGTCCAACTGCCGCAGCGAGGGAATGCGGCTCAGATGCTGCACAAGCAGCCTGCTCATGCCGCTGCACTGCTGCAGCTTCAACCACTCCAGCCGCTCAAGCGCACGCAGATGCACAGCAGCGCCTTGGCTGATTGCCGTTCCCGACAGGTCCAGCGCCTTCAGCTGTGTCATGCCTTGGACCACCGATGTCACAGCCCGGTCTGCTGCGAACGCGCAGGCAGCCAGGCTGAGGTGGGTGAGCAGGGAGAGGCGAGTCAAGTACGGCAGGTCACAATCGTGAAGCACCGTGTCTGTGATGTGGAGGGATGTGAGGCGCGTGAGGTTGGAGAGGGATCGCAGTGCTGCCGTGCTGGGCTGTGCTGCGTGCACCTCCAGGTGCTGTAGGCCCGCTAGGTCACCCACCACCTCCCATATGCTCCCGTCGATGCGGTTGCTAAGCTCTTCACTCACGCAGGCAACTCCTTTCTGGGGGGCCTTTCGGAAGGTCCTGATTACCTCTGGCAGGCGAGACCTGGAGAAGTCTAGCTTCGGCCCAACTAGCTTGGGCCCAAAGCGGTGGCCCTGGAAGGGATTGCCAAAGTGGTGGTCGTTGGATCCTGGGTCCTGGGTGATGATTGTTGGTGCCACCTGCAGCCTCCTCAGCTTCACCAGTCCCCTGAGGTGCATCCATCCCTTGGAACTCACCCCTTTGCTGCACGTGCAGGACAAGGCCTCGAGACTCGTGAGCACGCCCACCTGCTGCAGAAGAGAGTCTGTCACGCGGCTCACGTGCAGCTCCCTCAAGCTCTCAAACGGCTCAAATGGCTGGAGCTCGCTGGCAGGATCACACAGAGGGGACCGGTTGTCCTGGCGTTTGGCTGGCACGTTTTTGGGAAGCAGGTCAAAGGGGCGGAAGCAGGCGATGACGAGCCGGTGGAGCCGAGGGAGGCACTGCAAGAGCGGCAGGGCATCTGCATGGACGGAAGTTTCGTGGAAGTGAAGGGCGGTGAGGGAGGGCAGGCGGAGGAGGTGGCTCATGGCGAGCGGTGAGAGAGGGTTGACCCGGCGGAGGTCGAGAGTGGTGATGGCTGGTAGGCAGTGCGGGTAGCAGAGGGGAGTGAGGTGGAGGTAGAAGGCGAGGGAGAGGTTACAGAGGGAGAGCTCTGTCGCAGTGGGGTCCTGGGAGGACAGCTGAGAGACCACCCGGTTGATCTCGCGCGTGACGCTTTCCAGCCTGTGGGGACGGACTTGCAGTATAGCGTTGATCCTTCCCTGCAGCCTTGCCCTCACCTCCGCTTTGCTTGCTCTCCCACCAACCGGCCACTCATGCGCATCCCCCACCTGGGTCCCCCCTGCGCTCCCCGCCCAGCCTCCCCCTCCTTCCCTGTGGGCATTCCTCCCCTCCGCATTCATTGTAACCGCTCCTCCTGAATCCACTCTCGCCGCTTCTTTGCTCCCGGCACTGTGGCCGGCAGAAAGAAGTGGCTGCGATGGGCCAGTGGGGAATGGGTGAGGGGTGGGCCTTCTGCATCGCCTCCTCTCTCTCCTCCCTCACTCCGTCCGCGTGAGCCTTCCCACCCTCACATCCGAATGCCAGCCTCCTCACAGCCTGCACCATTGAACGGATGGCCTACACATGAGCAGGCAGAGCCGCCAGATGCTGCCACGTGGACAATCCGACGAAGGGAGTAGGGAGGGAATGGGTGTGTGGGGGAACGAGGGAGAAATGTGAGCTGGCATTTTTGCAAGGCTGACTTGCACGAGAGGACAGGACAGGTGGGTTGGAGTCCTGCACACTTCACTCTCGGCGTTGCACCGAATGGCGCCTGCATCAGCAGAGAGGTTTGGAGCACGCTGCAAGATAGGGCATGGGAGCCAGGAGAAGCAGTGGGGGGAGAGAGTATGATGGAGTGGTGCAGAGGCTGAGCGCGGATAAGGGGCCTGGAAGGGCGAAGAGGCTTGTCATATCCTGCCAGATGATACTGGGCAGACAACATAAATATACAGGCGGGGAAGGAAACAAGGGAGTGGCGCATACAGAGAGTTGCGATATAACGGACGGATGATATGAAGCCAAGGTCCAGGGAAGGACAAGGAAAGGAGCCTTTTTAAGGCCTGAAATAGTTTCTCGGAAGGGAGTGACCCTGGGAAGCAGGAGCGGAGAGAAGAGCGCAAGGAGAGAGAAGGGAGGTTGTGAAGGTAGGGCAGGCAAGAAAGGTTGGACCGGTGGAGACGACAATTGGAAAAAAAGGGCGATGGCCATGCGAGGGACGAACCCAGTCGCGAGTGAGGAAGACAAGAGTAGAGAGAGTGGGAGCTTTGAGGCGAGGGAAAGAATGAGAGGGGGGAGGGGGGAGAGGGTGACAGTGGGATAAAAGAGGAAGCCAAGCATAGATGGGCAAGAGTGAAGTCGGATGGCGGGCATTGGAGATGGGGACAAGGTATGTCAAGGCACTACATGGAGTGGCACAGGTCGTGCATAGGTCTTACGGCGTGGATGAAATTTGGGGCATGGCATTGCCATTAATTGTGTGTAAGGCATCTTGTACTTGCGCAGCCTTTAGTCTAGACTATGAAGACTATTTAGATAGTAGTATGCATAGGAAGCTCTAGCTTCAACTATGTGAAGGAATTTGCTGGAAAACGCCAAGGCAGAAAGTTCAAGTAATTTCATTGAAGAAGGCATACAAAAACAGAAAACACAAAGCAAGTTATAAGCAAAAGGATTTCTGATTTCGCCCTCGCGCCGCGCCTAATATCGAGCTGAGTTGTACTCGGCTCAATTCCCAAATCCAACCATGCACCGAACGCGCCTCGAGTTCGAATTTCAGACTTCCTTGGACGCGCCTTTGACCCGGCGTGACTTCTCATCACGTCACTTGATATCTCGACATTTCAGCTGTGTTCTTCTCCATTTCAGCACGCTTCCTCTCCTTCTCTTCATTTCCCATCGCAGGTCTAGTCTCTGCCTTGTTTCTCCTTCCACCGCCCCAACATAGGTAGCTCATCTTCTTCTTAGGTCTTCGCTTTCCCTTAGTCTCATCTCGTCAAGCCGGATTCTTCTTAGGTCGATGTAGATCGCGTTAGGTCGTTCTAGGTCGTGGTTAGCTAACCACCTTCAACAATCTCCCCTGTGGTTTGCTAACCACCAGCCTATGCATTCTCCCACGCACGTTTTACCTTGAACCATCTCTAGGCCTGCTCCACACTCCCCTGCAATTCAGCCAAGGTACGCATCCCAACCTCTCTCTTGCAACGCTCAAAATTTGCCCTTGGTAACACCTTAGTCAGAAAATCTGCTGCTTGTGCCTCCGTACGTACGAATTCAAACTTGAACTCCTTGCTACTCACCTTTGAACGCACCCAATGATACTTCACATCCATATGCTTGGTCCTCCCGTGCCAATTGTCGTTGTGAGCCAAGTCGATGGCAGATTTGCTATCCGTGCGTATCACCGTCGGCCCTTTCACCTTGATTTCCATCTCCTTGAGTAGCCGTCTCAGCCAAACCCCCTCTTGGCATGCGTAAAACAGAGCCATGTACTCCGCTTCCGCACTAGAGAGCGCTATGTCACTCAACTTTTTCGCTTGCCACATGATTGCTGTCCCGCCGAGCAGAAACACGTAACCGTATGCTCCCTTCCTTGTTTGCCTGTCGGATGCGTGTGAAGCATCCGCATACCCAAGGTCTCTTCACCTCCTTCGAATAACAGCCCCTCATCTTCATGTTGCAGTAGGTAGTCGATAGTCCTCCTCATCTCTCTCCATTTTCTCTCCCCTTGTTGCTGCACTTGTTGCCCAAGGTAGCTAGCTGCGTATGCCATGTCAACGCGCGTGCATGAGACCGGATACATTATGGACCCCACCATGGACTGATATACTTGCCGAGCTCTCTCCTTGCTGCCCCATTGGTTGACATCTTCCTCCCGCTCACTGTCATTTTCAGCTACCCCACTCAATGGTGTAGAAATCGCCTTCGTGTAGCCGTTGCCAAACTTCTGCTGCACCCTGCTGCAATATTTCTGCTGGTATAGGAACATCTTCTTCTCCTCCTTACGCCGCTCCAGATTCATGCCGAGAAAGAGTGTGGTCCTCGGAATCTGCTTGACTTGAAAAACTTCCGCAAGGTGAGTGCACACCTTCTCTACCTCCTCCTCTAACGCCCCTGCCACCAAGATGTCGTCCACGTATAGCACCAAAAACACCTTCTCTTTCCCTTCTCCCTTCCAGTAGAATGCTCTATCACACTCACTTTTATGAAATCCCCCTTGCAGTAGCCGCTCATCCATCGCCATGTACCACTCCCTAGGACTTTGCTTCAGCCCGTATAGAGCCTTCTTGAGCTTGCATTTCCTGCCTGAGCCGTCATCATGCCCTGGTGGTTGTTCGAGGTAGATGTCCTCCTTCAACACCCCATACAAAAACGCGTTTTTAATATCCAGCTGCACCATGAAGTATTTTCTTGCTGCTACCACCTTGAGAAAGACCCGCGCCGTTGCCAACTTGCTCACTGGAGCGTAGATCTCATTTTGTTGGTAATCTTTCCCCTCCACCTGAGTGTAGCCCTTGGCTACAAGCCTTGCTTTGAACCTTTCCAGCTGCCCCATATCTCCGGTCTTGATTTTAAAAATCCACTTCACCCCCACGGCTTTCCTCCCTTCCGGCATAGGCACGAGTTCCCATGTGCCCCTTTCAGCCAATGTGTTCAACTCCTCCTCAATTGCCGCTTTCCACCGCTCCCTTTCTGGACCCTCGAGCGCCTCCTCGATGCTCACTGGTTCTTTGGGCAGGTTGTGACTCACTTTCCCTTCATTGGAGACTAGGTCAGTTGCTGTGGCAGAGAGTAGGAGATGGGTATGGATGTCCTTCCAGCACGTCATCAGCAGTTGCGCATACCGAGGGTTTGGTTTCTTCACCCTCTTTCCTTTCCCCAACTCCTCTGCAGATGATTCGACCTCTTCCTCACTGGAATCCGTCAATGCTTTCCCTTCTCCATCCTTTACTTCCCTTCCAATCACGATGGCGCCCTCCTCAAGTAAGTCCTCTATCTCCTTCTCTGCTGCCTGGTTGTCACCACTATTCAGGAACTTCCAGGGATCGCTACTTCCTTCAGCTGCTGATTCTTCATCTCTCTCTTCTCTAGCCACTTCATCGTTGACACCCTCAGCTACTTCCTTGCTTGGCTGCTCCCCTGCTATCTCCACTCCCTTGTTTTCATCCGCTTCCCTGGCTGGTGCCTTCTCCCACACCCAATCAACTGAATCTGCCCGTTCCACATCTTCGATCTCCTCATCTTTTTCATCACCAACTCCCTCACTCTCCTTTTCTTCCAAGAGATCCTCTACCTTGTCCGATGTAGTTGCTGTCCCTGCTGCTGCAATCTCTTTCTCTACCCCCTTCCACTGCAGGTAGCTCACCTCCTCGTAGAAAATAACATCCCGGGTGATTGTGACCTTCCCCGAAACCACATCCTTGATCACCCACCCCTTGCTCACTGGGCAGGTACCAAGATTGATCCCCCATTGAGTCCTTGGCAGCAACTTATGATCCGGACCAGCAGGCTCCCTGTATTGTACCATACTCCCCCACACCCGTGCAAGCCCCAGATTCGGCTTCCTCCCATAGAATGCCTCGTGAGGAGTCACATCTGCCCGAAGTCCCTTGGTAGGCAATCGGTTCTTGGACCAGCAGGCCATTGCTAATGCATCACCCCAGAATTTCAGTGGCAGCCCACTGTCAGCCAGCATGCTCCTCACACTGTCTAGCAGAGAACGATTCACCCGCTCCGCTACACTATTATGCTGTGGAGTGTAGGGTACAGTCAGCTGCCGTCGGATGCCCTTACTTTGTAAAAACTTGTTAAACAGGTCCCCGGTAAACTCCCCACCATTATCTGTCCTCAAAACTTTCAGCACCTTCCCACTTTGTCGCTCCGCTTCCGCCATCCAAGTCACGAAGCTAGGAAACACCTCTGCCTTATCTTTCAGCTCCGTCACCCATGTGTGCCTCGTTCCCAAATCAGTGAAGGTAACGAAGTAGCGGCTGCCGTGTCGTGATGCCACCCTCATAGGCCCACACACATCGGCTGCTACGATGTCCAAGGTGCCATAAGGCTCCTGCACCTGGTGGTGGGGGTGTGGGGATTTTGTGATTTTACCTTCAACACACTTGCTGCATTTTCCCTTGCTTCCAGCCCCCTCCTTCAATGTCACTCCTTTTACCATGCCCTTTTTAACCAACTCCTTGATCCTATCCACGCTTGCATGCCCCATGCGCCTATGCAAGGTCTCCAATTCAACCTTCTCCACCCCAACCACCATGGCTGAAGCTTCCTGCTGCAGCTCCTTCACAGGTAAGCCACCAAGCCGAGCCTTCAACTCCTCCCTGGCTAGGTCCCCTTCGAGTGGAGTCATGTAGGTGGCATTCTCTGCTTCCAGCCCCTTCTTCCTCAGCTTCATTTCATACAATCCCTGATTTCTGTTCCCTTCTGCAACCACCTTCCAATTTTCATCAAAAACCCACAGCTTCCCCTTGTCACTGAAGGTTTTGCACCCCGTGCTGTCAAGTTGTGACTGGCTGATCAGATTCAGTGAGAGCTTCTCCACTAAGAGCACTTTTTCCAGTTTCAGCTCCCCATACTCTCCCTGGAGCAGCAACTCTCCTTCTCCCTTCACACTCAGTTTTCCTTCATCACCCAACAGCACATAGGGTACGTTGGAGTCCCTCAGATTTGTAAGCCATTCACGGTGATTGGTCATATGCTGCGTGCAGCCACTATCCATGAACCACGCAGCTTCACCAAACCCCTTTGCCATCAAACACACTCCCGATGCCCTAGCCACGTTTGCCTTGTGAGCTCCTCCCAAAATAACGTCCGCTTCACTGTTTTCAGCTTCCACTGCATTTGCTTTTGCTGCTGCTGGTTGGTTTTGCTGCTGGTTTGCCCCTCGGTAGTTCCTGCTGTTGGGGTTCGAGTAGCAGTTGGCTGCCCTATGCCCAATTTTCTGGCAATAGTGACATGCCCCTGAAAATCCGCCTCTCTGCACCTTGTTATCGCCTCGAAACTCCCCCTCTTTCTGCTGCCCTCCATTTTGCAAGCCCTTCTGCTGCAGACCGCTCCACTTTCCCTTGAAATTTCTGCTCCTCGGGTTGTCATAGCAGTCTATCTGCTTATGACCCTTCTTCCTGTTAAATTGTAATGTGTTATATGTTGGTAGGCTGTAGTGGGGTAGCCAATATGGGGTACAACCCCAACTAGGGTTTCATATTTGTACCCAAACTTCTGCTAGTTCATCCATTCTTGCCTAGTTATTCTGAGATGGTATTCAGAGCAGGAGGTCCCTAGGACCTACCGACCGTTTTTTTAGGGCCCACCACCGCTCGCATGCGGTTACCACGCTACCCCGTGCCCTAGCCTCGTTAGCGCCCTCGCGCGCCCCTCGTTAGCGCCCTCGCGCGCCCCTCGTTAGCGCCCTCGCGCGCCCCTCATTAGCGCCCTCGCGCGCCCCTTGCTAGCGCCCTCGCGCGCCCCTCGCTAGCGCCCTCGCGCGCCCCTCTTAGCGTCGCCCGCCCGCCGAGCCGCCCGCTCGCAGCGTCGCCCGTCCGCCACGCTGCCCGCTCGCCCCTCGCCCGTCGCGCTGCCCGCTCGCACCCTCGCCCGCTCGCCCCGCTGCCCGCTTCGCAGCCCGCTCGCCCCGCTGCCCGCTTCGCAGCCCGCCCGCCCGCTCGCTGCCCGCTTCGCGGCCCGCCCGCTTCGCTGCCCGCTCGCAGCGCCGCCCGCCCGCCCGCTACCTGCTTCGCAGCGTCGCCCGCCCGCTTGCTGCCCGCTCGCAGCGTCGCCCGCCCGCCCGCTGCCCGCTTCGCAGCGTCGCCCGCTCGCTCGCTGCCCGCTCGCAGCGTCGCCCGCCCGCCCGCTGCTCGCTCGCAGCGTCGCCCTCCCGCCTCGCTGCCCGCTTGCAGCGTCGCCCGCCCGCCCGCTGCCCGCTTGCAGCGTCGCCCGCCCGCCCGCTGCCCGCTTCGCAGCCGCCCGCCGCGCTGCCCGCTCGCCGCGTCGCCCGCCCGCCCCGCTGCCCGCTTCGCAGCCCGCCCGCCGCACTTCCCGCCTGCAGCGCTGCCCGCCTCTTCTGCTGCTGCTGCTGCTCTGCTGTGCCCTCACGCCTGAGCTATGGCCTCTATTCGCGTTCTTTCCTTCGATGCTGAGGGCCGTCCCGTGCAGTTCACTTCCTGGCTCGACGACCTGCAGTTGTATCTTATGAGCAATAGCACGGACCACATCTCCCTCTATGACTACGCGTCTGGTGCTGCCGCTGCTCCTGCTGCCACAGCCGAGCTTAGTGTACGTTCACAGTGGCAGACTCGTGACGCTGCAGCTCGCCTGGCTATTCGCAGTCACCTGCCGTTACCTGAGCTAGAGCACTTTGGCGACTGCAAAACCGCTAAAGCCCTATATGACGCTGTCGTTGCTCGCTACTCCTCACCTGCCACAGCCGAGCTTAGCCGTCTCATGCTGCCTTACCTGTTCCCTGACCTGTCCGCCTTTGCTACAGTCGCCGATCTTATCACCCACCTTCGCACTAGTGATGCTCGCCTGCGTGCCGCCCTTCCCACCGAGTTCTGCGCTAAGAACCCCCCTCCCCTGTACTGGGCACTCCACTTCATAGTCACCCGTCTCCCTGACACCCTCAGCTCAGTGCGCGACTATTTCCTTGCTCGCTGTCCCACTGAGCTCACTGTCCCCCTCCTAGAGGAGAAGCTGCTAGCAGCCGAGAAGAGCATTGTCGCTGTAGGTGCTGCTCGTGGTGCTCCTCGCACCCCCATCTTTGAGGGATGCTCTCCCTCTCCCCTCGCTCCCTCCTATGCTACTGCTGCTGCTGTTGACTTCCTTGGTGCTGAGACTGCTGGCGCTGCTTCTGCTCCTGGTGGGAGGCGCCGCACCGGCAAGGGCAAGGGGGGCAAGGGTGGCGGGGGTGGCGCTGGGGGGGGAGGGGGTGGGGGAGGTGGGGGGGGAGGCGGTGCTGGAGGGAGCGGTGGCGGGAGTGCCGGTGGGAGTGGGGCCGGCGGCGGAGGCGGGGGCGGCGGCGGGAGCAGTGGCGGTGGTGGCAGCGGCGGCAGTGGCGGCGGTGGCGGTAGTGGCGGTGGCGGTGGCGGTGGCGGTGGTGGCGGTCGGAGCGGAGGTAGTGGCGGCGGTGGAGGTCGGAGTGGAGGCACAGGCTCGGGCCAGAGCTCCCAGCAGCAGCAGCGTCCCCAGTCGACCCAGCAGCTTCGTGAGTGGCTTGCTCAGCGTGGGACGTCGGGGGGCAGTGGCCGCTGTTCCTATGTCATTCGCACAGGTGATCGCAAGGGACAGACGTGTGGGAGGTTTCACACCCCGTACCGCTGCTTCTTCCGCCTTGACGACGCTTGGCGTGAGGAGATGGGTGAGGATGTTGAGCGCCCTCGCTGGGCTGAGCTGATGAGGGCTGGGGTTGATATCTTTGCTCTTGACTATGATGCTATTATTGCTGCCATGTATGCATTGACTGTTAGTGCCGAGGGAGACTGTTACTTGTGTGTGCCGCCTGACCCAGGTATAGAGCCCGCTGCCCTAGGTACTAGTGAGTCTGCTCTCTCTGGTATGGTGCCCCCTGTACCTGCTCCCTCCAGCACTGTCCCTGCTGCTTGCGAGTCTGCTCTCTCAGGTACAGCACCCACAGAGACTGCTCTCTCAGGTACTGCACCGACTGAGCCCTGTCACACCTTCACCCTTGACTCAGGTGCTTCCCGCTGCTTCTTTCGAGACAGTACTGAGCTCACACCGCTTCCTGCACCGGTCCCAGTCTCCTTGGCTGACCCCTCTGGGGGCCCGGTCCTTGCCCGGTCCACCACTGTGCTCCCTTGTCCGGCGGTTCCGTCTGGCTCGTTGACGGGTTTCCACCTCCCCTCGTTCTCGACGAACCTGGTGAGCAACGCTGTCATCCAGGATCAGTGGGTTGACACCTTCACCCCTGGAGGACAGCGTGTGGCGATCTGCACGTGCTCCAGGACCGGCCGTCACCTGGCTACGTTTACTCGTCGGCCGGGGTCGAGTCTCTACACACTGACCACTGCGTCTCCTCAGGTCGCTGCTGTCGGTCAGGTGTCCGCGTCAGGTCTGGTAGCCCACGCCTGTGAGTGTCGTTCCCTGTCGCACCAGACTCTTCTCTGGCACCACCGCCTGGGTCACCCCTCCTTGCCACGCCTCCGTGGCATGCACCGTCGCCACCTTGTGTCTGGTCTTCCCAGGTCCCTCCCTCCCCTCCCTGCCTCGCCTGCGCCGCCTTGCCTTCCTTGCGTCGAGGGGCGGCAGCGCGCCGCTCCTCACTCCTCCTCGTTCCCCCCGACAGAGGCTCCTCTGGAGACCCTCCACCTGGACGTGTGGGGCCCAGCCCGCGTTCGTGGTCAGGGCGGTGAGCGGTACTTTTTGCTGGTTGTCGACGACTACTCGCGTTACACCACGGTCTTCCCCTTGCGCACCAAGGGTGAGGTCCCTGCTGTTCTGATCCCTTGGATCCGCACAGTTCGTCTCCAGCTCCGCCGCCGTTTCCGGACGGATCTTCCTGTCCTGCGTCTGCACTCTGACAGAGGTGGTGAGTTTTCCTCCGACCTCTTGAGGACCTTCTGTCAGGCGGAGGGCATCGAGCAGACCTTCACGCTTCCGGACTCCCCACAGCAGAATGGGGTTGCTGAGCGCCGCATTGGCCTGGTCATGGAGGTCGCTCGTACCTCCTTGGTCCACGCGGCGGCTCCCCATTTTCTGTGGCCGTTTGCTGTCCGGTACGCCGCGCATCAGCTCAACCTCTGGCCCCGTGTCTCCTTACCGGAGACCTCGCCCACACTACGTTGGACGGGGGAGGTTGGCGATGCGTCGCGCTTCCGGGTGTGGGGTGCTCGTGCCCTTGTCCGCGATACGTCCGCGGACAAGCTCTCCTCCCGCACGCTTCCCTGTGTCTTCCTTGGCTTTGTCCCTGACGCGCCGGGCTGGCAGTTTTACCACCCCACCTCGCGCCGGGTCTTCGCCTCTCAGGACGTCACCTTTGACGAGTCGGTCCCTTTTTACCGTCTCTTCCCCTACCGTACTGCCCCCCTCCCTCCCCCGCCGCTTTTCCTTGCTCCTGGTCCCCCTCCGGTAGACCCCCTTCCCCCTCAGGGTCCTGCTCCTTCAGGTGTCTCTCAGGTAGACCCTCCTCCCGTCGCTGAGCCTGTCGAGGTCACAGGTGACTCAGGTGCTGCTGCAGGTGGTGCTGCTGGGAGTGCTGAGCCTGCGGGTGCTGGGCCTGGGGGTGCTGGGACTACGGGTGCTGGAGCTGAGGGTACTGTGCCTGAGAGTTCGGCGCCTGGGGGTGCTGAGCCTGGGGGTGCTGCGACTGGGGGTGCTGAGCCGGCGTGTGCGGAGTCTGGGGGTGCTGAGCCTGGGGGTGCTGCTACTGAGCCTACGGAGCCTCGGGTTGCTGCGTCTGGGGGTGCTCCGGTTCGGGGTGCTGAGCAGTCTCTCACACCACAGCAGCTTCGTGACTGGTACGTCCGGCGCTTTCGCCGTCCTAGTGGCTCGGCTGGAGCTGGGGGTACTGGAGCTACCGGGACTGGTTGTTCTGGGAGCACTACGACTGGAGCTGCTGGAGCTGGGGACTCTGGAGCTGGCGGCGCTAGCGGAGTTGTAGCTGCGGACCCTGGGGGTGGTGCTGCTGCTGGTGCTGCGGACCCACCTGGTGGAGCTGCTGCTGGAGCTGAGGACCCGAGCGGTGGCGCTGCTGCTGGTGCTGGGGACCCGGACGCTGGAGTCTCTTCTGCTTCTGGAGACGCTGCGCGGCCGCGGCCGTACTTCGTACCGCTCCTTCAGCAGGTTCTTGGGCAGGCTCCTCCTCCTTGTCCTCCTCCCTCCGTAGAGTGTCCTCCGACTGTCCAGCCGCAGTCACAGTTACCGCCTACCTCGCCTCTCCCTGCTCCCTCTCCTTACACTGGTCCCACAGGAGGTCTTACAGAGCGTCGTGAGCCTGAGTCTCGTCCTGCGTCGCCTGTCCGTACTGCTCGCACTGGTCGTCGTGTCCGTCGTGAGCGTCCTCCTCCTGTCCCAGGCACTCACTACATGACTCTGCGTCCCTCTACTGCTCCTCAGCGTGTCCCTCTGCCGTCTCCTCCTGCGTCCTCTTTGCCTGCTGTTCCCGACCCTGAGTCTGACAGTGTTCGTGCTGCCCACCCTACTGTTACGCGTCTTCTCGCCACTGTTGTCACTGACCCGTCGTTTGAGTCTTCTGCTGCGTCTGCCCTGGTCGCTGAGCTTGTCGACTTTGCTGCTGCCTGTCGCCTAGACTACGCCGCCAGTCTTGTTGCTGAGTCTGAGTCTGTCTGTCCTCCGTCCGTCGGGGGTGAGTGTGCTCTTGGCACGGACGTTCTTGAGGACAGGCAGGAGGACTTTGACTCTCTCGCGGCTGCTGTACCTCATCTCGTGGCCTGGTTGCTTGCCCCTGAGGGAGACCCGGATGCACTAGACATCCCCACTCCACGCACTTACGCAGAGGCGATCTCGGGTCCCTACTCCTCTCAGTGGCAGACAGCCATGGACGCAGAGATGGCATCCTGGAAGTCCACAGGCACCTACGTCGACGAGGTTCCCCCTCCTGGGGCGAACATCGTCGATGGCATGTGGATTTTCAGGGTGAAGCGGCCGCCAGGTTCTCCGCCTGTCTTCAAGGCTCGTTACGTTGCTAGAGGCTTCAGTCAGCGTCAGGGGGTCGACTTCTTCCAGACCTTCTCCCCCACCCCGAAGATGACCACTCTTCGGGTTCTGCTGCACGTTGCTGCTCAGCGTGACTACGAACTTCACTCTCTTGACTTCAGCACAGCGTTCCTGCAGGGCAGCCTGCACGAGGAGATCTGGCTGCGCCGTCCACCTGGCTTTACTGGGTCGTTTCCTCCTGGTACCCAGTGGAGCCTCCGCCGGCCAGTCTACGGTCTCCGCCAGGCGCCACGCGAGTGGCACGACACACTGAGGACTACACTTGCGACTCTTGGGTTCGCGCCGTCTACTGCTGACCCGTCGCTGTTTCTGCGCACAGACACGTCGCTGCCGCCGTTCTACATTCTCGTGTACGTCGACGACTTGGTCTTTGCTACTGCTGACACTGAGGCACTCGCTCGTGTGAAGTCGGAGCTGCAGAAGAGACACACCTGCACTGACCTGGGTGAGCTGCGTAGCTACCTTGGCTTGCAGATCACCCGGGACAGAGCTCGCCGCACCATCACCCTGACTCAGTCACACATGGTGCAGCAGGTCCTTCAGCGCTTCGGCTTCCAGTTCTCCTCACCACAGGCCACACCTCTGGCTACCAGCCACTCGCTCTCAGCTCCACCTCCGGACGAGTCCGTAGAGCCGAGTGGCCCGTACCCAGAGCTTGTGGGCTGCCTCATGTACCTGATGACTTGCACGCGACCTGACCTCGCGTACCCTCTTAGCATCCTTGCTCGTTACGTTGCGCCTGGGAGACACAGGCGAGAGCACTGGGAGGCTGCTAAGAGGGTACTACGCTACTTGTGCAGTACATCAGGCATGGGGCTGGTGCTTGGAGGACACGACAGAGTTGTCCTCACTGGTCACTCGGACGCTTCTTGGGTGGACGACCTGGCTACGCAGCGGTCGTCACAGGGCTACACCTTCAGCCTTGGCTCTGGTTCTGTCTCGTGGCGGTCCACCCGCTCTTCCTCTGTTCTCAGCTCTAGTTGTGAGGCTGAGATCTACGCCACAGCCATGGCTGCACAGGAGTTACGCTGGCTCACCTACCTGCTGACTGACTTGGGAGAGCGGCCTAGTTCTCCTCCAGTTCTGTACGGTGACAACAAGGCGGCTCTTGCCTTGTGTCAGGAGCACAGACTGGAGCACAGGACGAAGCACATTGCTCTTCGCTACTTTCTTGCTCGAGAGCTTCAGCAGCGCGGTCAGCTTCGGCTTGTGTACGTGGACTCGAAGGCCAACACTGCTGATATCTTCACCAAGGCGCTCCCGCCTAGTGATCATCAGCGGCACTGTACTTCTTTAGGCTTTGTGTCCACGTATCCTCACTTGCTCACTGCTTGATATTCTTTGTACTGTACTTTATATATATCCTGTTGCTTGCTTGCTAGGTTTTGATCACTGTGTTGCTTGTCTTGTACTATATCTAGCACTGCATGTGAACTGGCCTTGTGGCCTTTACTTGTGCTCGGAGTGTGGTGACGTTGTGATCCACCCTGGGCTTTGTTTTGCTTTGCTGGACTGGTCTTGTGACCCTTTGTGCTCCCCCACTTTGCCTATGGGGGTGTGTTAAACTGCATGCCAGCTGACCCACATGTGCCTCACCTGAGCATGCCAGCTGACCCACATGTGCCTCACCTGAGCATGCCAGCTGACCCACATGTGCCTCACCTGAGCATGCCAGCTGACCCACATGTGCCTCACCTGAGCATGCCAGCTGACCCACATGTGCCTCACCTGAGCATGCCATCTGACCCACATGTGCCTCACCTGAGCATGCCAGCTGACCCACATGTGCCTCACCTGAGCATGCCAGCTGACCCACATGTGCCTCACCTGAGCATGCCAGCTGACCCACATGTGCCTCACCTGAGCATGCCAGCTGACCCACATGTGCCTCACCTGAGCATGCCAGCTGACCCACATGTGCCTCACCTGAGCATGCCAGCTGACCCACATGTGCCTCACCTGAGCATGCCAGCTGACCCACATGTGCCTCACCTGAGCATGCCAGCTGACCCACATGTGCCTCACCTGAGCATGCCAGCTGACCCACATGTGCCTCACCTGAGCATGCCAGCTGACCCACATGTGCCTCACCTGAGCATGCCAGCTGACCCACATGTGCCTCACCTGAGCATGCCAGCTGACCCACATGTGCCTCACCTGAGCATGCCAACTGACCCACATGTGCCTCACCTGAGCATGCCAGCTGACCCACATGTGCCTCACCTGAGCATGCCAGCTGACCCACATGTGCCTCACCTGAGCATGCCAGCTGACCCACATGTGCCTCACCTGAGCATGCCAGCTGACCCACATGTGCCTCACCTGAGCATGCCAGCTGACCCACATGTGCCTCACCTGAGCATGCCAGCTGACCCACATGTGCCTCACCTGAGCATGCCAGCTGACCCACATGTGCCTCACCTGAGCATGCCAGCTGACCCACATGTGCCTCACCTGAGCATGCCAGCTGACCCACATGTGCCTCACCTGAGCATGCCAGCTGACCCACATGTGCCTCACCTGAGCATGCCAGCTGACCCACATGTGCCTCACCTGAGCATGCCAGCTGACCCACATGTGCCTCACCTGAGCATGCCAGCTGACCCACATGTGCCTCACCTGAGCATGCCAGCTGACCCACATGTGCCTCACCTGAGCATGCCAGCTGACCCACATGTGCCTCACCTGAGCATGCCAGCTGACCCACATGTGCCTCACCTGAGCATGCCAGCTGACCCACATGTGCCTCACCTGAGCATGCCAGCTGACCCACATGTGCCTCACCTGAGCATGCCAGCTGACCCACATGTGCCTCACCTGAGCATGCCAGCTGACCCACATGTGCCTCACCTGAGCATGCCAGCTGACCCACATGTGCCTCACCTGAGCATGCCAGCTGACCCACATGTGCCTCACCTGAGCATGCCAGCTGACCCACATGTGCCTCACCTGAGCATGCCAGCTGACCCACATGTGCCTCACCTGAGCATGCCAGCTGACCCACATGTGCCTCACCTGAGCATGCCAGCTGACCCACATGTGCCTCACCTGAGCATGCCAGCTGACCCACATGTGCCTCACCTGAGCATGCCAGCTGACCCACATGTGCCTCACCTGAGCATGCCAGCTGACCCACATGTGCCTCACCTGAGCATGCCAGCTGACCCACATGTGCCTCACCTGAGCATGCCAGCTGACCCACATGTGCCTCACCTGAGCATGCCAGCTGACCCACATGTGCCTCACCTGAGCATGCCAGCTGACCCACATGTGCCTCACCTGAGCATGCCAGCTGACCCACATGTGCCTCACCTGAGCATGCCAGCTGACCCACATGTGCCTCACCTGAGAATGCCAGCTGACCCACATGTGCCTCACCTGAGCATGCCAGCTGACCCACATGTGCCTCACCTGAGCATGCCAGCTGACCCACATGTGCCTCACCTGAGCATGCCAGCTGACCCACATGTGCCTCACTGAGCATGCCAGCTGACCCACATGTGCCTCACCTGAGCATGCCAGCTGACCCACATGTGCCTCACCTGAGCATGCCAGCTGACCCACATGTGCCTCACCTGAGCATGCCAGCTGACCCACATGTGCCTCACCTGAGCATGCCAGCTGACCCACATGTGCCTCACCTGAGCATGCCAGCTGACCCACATGTGCCTCACCTGAGCATGCCAGCTGACCCACATGTGCCTCACCTGAGCATGCCAGCTGACCCACATGTGCCTCACCTGAGCATGCCAGCTGACCCACATGTGCCTCACCTGAGCATGCCAGCTGACCCACATGTGCCTCACCTGAGCATGCCAGCTGACCCACATGTGCCTCACCTGAGCATGCCAGCTGACCCACATGTGCCTCACCTGAGCATGCCAGCTGACCCACATGTGCCTCACCTGAGCATGCCAGCTGACCCACATGTGCCTCACCTGAGCATGCCAGCTGACCCACATGTGCCTCACCTGAGCATGCCAGCTGACCCACATGTGCCTCACCTGAGCATGCCAGCTGACCCACATGTGCCTCACCTGAGCATGCCAGCTGACCCACATGTGCCTCACCTGAGCATGCCAGCTGACCCACATGTGCCTCACCTGAGCATGCCAGCTGACCCACATGTGCCTCACCTGAGCATGCCAGCTGACCCACATGTGCCTCACCTGAGCATGCCAGCTGACCCACATGTGCCTCACCTGAGCATGCCAGCTGACCCACAGTGCCTCACCTGAGCATGCCAGCTGACCCACATGTGCCTCACCTGAGCATGCCAGCTGACCCACATGTGCCTCACCTGAGCATGCCAGCTGACCCACATGTGCCTCACCTGAGCATGCCAGCTGACCCACATGTGCCTCACCTGAGCATGCCAGCTGACCCACATGTGCCTCACCTGAGCATGCCAGCTGACCCACATGTGCCTCACCTGAGCATGCCAGCTGACCCACATGTGCCTCACCTGAGCATGCCAGCTGACCCACATGTGCCTCACCTGAGCATGCCAGCTGACCCACATGTGCCTCACCTGAGCATGCCAGCTGACCCACATGTGCCTCACCTGAGCATGCCAGCTGACCCACATGTGCCTCACCTGAGCATGCCAGCTGACCCACATGTGCCTCACCTGAGCATGCCAGCTGACCCACATGTGCCTCACCTGAGCATGCCAGCTGACCCACATGTGCCTCACCTGAGCATGCCAGCTGACCCACATGTGCCTCACCTGAGCATGCCAGCTGACCCACATGTGCCTCACCTGAGCATGCCAGCTGACCCACATGTGCCTCACCTGAGCATGCCAGCTGACCCACATGTGCCTCACCTGAGCATGCCAGCTGACCCACATGTGCCTCACCTGAGCATGCCAGCTGACCCACATGTGCCTCACCTGAGCATGCCAGCTGACCCACATGTGCCTCACCTGAGCATGCCAGCTGACCCACATGTGCCTCACCTGAGCATGCCAGCTGACCCACATGTGCCTCACCTGAGCATGCCAGCTGACCCACATGTGCCTCACCTGAGCATGCCAGCTGACCCACATGTGCCTCACCTGAGCATGCCAGCTGACCCACATGTGCCTCACCTGAGCATGCCAGCTGACCCACATGTGCCTCACCTGAGCATGCCAGCTGACCCACATGTGCCTCACCTGAGCATGCCAGCTGACCCACATGTGCCTCACCTGAGCATGCCAGCTGACCCACATGTGCCTCACCTGAGCATGCCAGCTGACCCACATGTGCCTCACCTGAGCATGCCAGCTGACCCACATGTGCCTCACCTGAGCATGCCAGCTGACCCACATGTGCCTCACCTGAGCATGCCAGCTGACCCACATGTGCCTCACCTGAGCATGCCAGCTGACCCACATGTGCCTCACCTGAGCATGCCAGCTGACCCACATGTGCCTCACCTGAGCATGCCAGCTGACCCACATGTGCCTCACCTGAGCATGCCAGCTGACCCACATGTGCCTCACCTGAGCATGCCAGCTGACCCACATGTGCCTCACCTGAGCATGCCAGCTGACCCACATGTGCCTCACCTGAGCATGCCAGCTGACCCACATGTGCCTCACCTGAGCATGCCAGCTGACCCACATGTGCCTCACCTGAGCATGCCAGCTGACCCACATGTGCCTCACCTGAGCATGCCAGCTGACCCACATGTGCCTCACCTGAGCATGCCAGCTGACCCACATGTGCCTCACCTGAGCATGCCAGCTGACCCACATGTGCCTCACCTGAGCATGCCAGCTGACCCACATGTGCCTCACCTGAGCATGCCAGCTGACCCACATGTGCCTCACCTGAGCATGCCAGCTGACCCACATGTGCCTCACCTGAGCATGCCAGCTGACCCACATGTGCCTCACCTGAGCATGCCAGCTGACCCACATGTGCCTCACCTGAGCATGCCAGCTGACCCACATGTGCCTCACCTGAGCATGCCAGCTGACCCACATGTGCCTCACCTGAGCATGCCAGCTGACCCACATGTGCCTCACCTGAGCATGCCAGCTGACCCACATGTGCCTCACCTGAGCATGCCAGCTGACCCACATGTGCCTCACCTGAGCATGCCAGCTGACCCACATGTGCCTCACCTGAGCATGCCAGCTGACCCACATGTGCCTCACCTGAGCATGCCAGCTGACCCACATGTGCCTCACCTGAGCATGCCAGCTGACCCACATGTGCCTCACCTGAGCATGCCAGCTGACCCACATGTGCCTCACCTGAGCATGCCAGCTGACCCACATGTGCCTCACCTGAGCATGCCAGCTGACCCACATGTGCCTCACCTGAGCATGCCAGCTGACCCACATGTGCCTCACCTGAGCATGCCAGCTGACCCACATGTGCCTCACCTGAGCATGCCAGCTGACCCACATGTGCCTCACCTGAGCATGCCAGCTGACCCACATGTGCCTCACCTGAGCATGCCAGCTGACCCACATGTGCCTCACCTGAGCATGCCAGCTGACCCACATGTGCCTCACCTGAGCATGCCAGCTGACCCACATGTGCCTCACCTGAGCATGCCAGCTGACCCACATGTGCCTCACCTGAGCATGCCAGCTGACCCACATGTGCCTCACCTGAGCATGCCAGCTGACCCACATGTGCCTCACCTGAGCATGCCAGCTGACCCACATGTGCCTCACCTGAGCATGCCAGCTGACCCACATGTGCCTCACCTGAGCATGCCAGCTGACCCACATGTGCCTCACCTGAGCATGCCAGCTGACCCACATGTGCCTCACCTGAGCATGCCAGCTGACCCACATGTGCCTCACCTGAGCATGCCAGCTGACCCACATGTGCCTCACCTGAGCATGCCAGCTGACCCACATGTGCCTCACCTGAGCATGCCAGCTGACCCACATGTGCCTCACCTGAGCATGCCAGCTGACCCACATGTGCCTCACCTGAGCATGCCAGCTGACCCACATGTGCCTCACCTGAGCATGCCAGCTGACCCACATGTGCCTCACCTGAGCATGCCAGCTGACCCACATGTGCCTCACCTGAGCATGCCAGCTGACCCACATGTGCCTCACCTGAGCATGCCAGCTGACCCACATGTGCCTCACCTGAGCATGCCAGCTGACCCACATGTGCCTCACCTGAGCATGCCAGCTGACCCACATGTGCCTCACCTGAGCATGCCAGCTGACCCACATGTGCCTCACCTGAGCATGCCAGCTGACCCACATGTGCCTCACCTGAGCATGCCAGCTGACCCACATGTGCCTCACCTGAGCATGCCAGCTGACCCACATGTGCCTCACCTGAGCATGCCAGCTGACCCACATGTGCCTCACCTGAGCATGCCAGCTGACCCACATGTGCCTCACCTGAGCATGCCAGCTGACCCACATGTGCCTCACCTGAGCATGCCAGCTGACCCACATGTGCCTCACCTGAGCATGCCAGCTGACCCACATGTGCCTCACCTGAGCATGCCAGCTGACCCACATGTGCCTCACCTGAGCATGCCAGCTGACCCACATGTGCCTCACCTGAGCATGCCAGCTGACCCACATGTGCCTCACCTGAGCATGCCAGCTGACCCACATGTGCCTCACCTGAGCATGCCAGCTGACCCACATGTGCCTCACCTGAGCATGCCAGCTGACCCACATGTGCCTCACCTGAGCATGCCAGCTGACCCACATGTGCCTCACCTGAGCATGCCAGCTGACCCACATGTGCCTCACCTGAGCATGCCAGCTGACCCACATGTGCCTCACCTGAGCATGCCAGCTGACCCACATGTGCCTCACCTGAGCATGCCAGCTGACCCACATGTGCCTCACCTGAGCATGCCAGCTGACCCACATGTGCCTCACCTGAGCATGCCAGCTGACCCACATGTGCCTCACCTGAGCATGCCAGCTGACCCACATGTGCCTCACCTGAGCATGCCAGCTGACCCACATGTGCCTCACCTGAGCATGCCAGCTGACCCACATGTGCCTCACCTGAGCATGCCAGCTGACCCACATGTGCCTCACCTGAGCATGCCAGCTGACCCACATGTGCCTCACCTGAGCATGCCAGCTGACCCACATGTGCCTCACCTGAGCATGCCAGCTGACCCACATGTGCCTCACCTGAGCATGCCAGCTGACCCACATGTGCCTCACCTGAGCATGCCAGCTGACCCACATGTGCCTCACCTGAGCATGCCAGCTGACCCACATGTGCCTCACCTGAGCATGCCAGCTGACCCACATGTGCCTCACCTGAGCATGCCAGCTGACCCACATGTGCCTCACCTGAGCATGCCAGCTGACCCACATGTGCCTCACCTGAGCATGCCAGCTGACCCACATGTGCCTCACCTGAGCATGCCAGCTGACCCACATGTGCCTCACCTGAGCATGCCAGCTGACCCACATGTGCCTCACCTGAGCATGCCAGCTGACCCACATGTGCCTCACCTGAGCATGCCAGCTGACCCACATGTGCCTCACCTGAGCATGCCAGCTGACCCACATGTGCCTCACCTGAGCATGCCAGCTGACCCACATGTGCCTCACCTGAGCATGCCAGCTGACCCACATGTGCCTCACCTGAGCATGCCAGCTGACCCACATGTGCCTCACCTGAGCATGCCAGCTGACCCACATGTGCCTCACCTGAGCATGCCAGCTGACCCACATGTGCCTCACCTGAGCATGCCAGCTGACCCACATGTGCCTCACCTGAGCATGCCAGCTGACCCACATGTGCCTCACCTGAGCATGCCAGCTGACCCACATGTGCCTCACCTGAGCATGCCAGCTGACCCACATGTGCCTCACCTGAGCATGCCAGCTGACCCACATGTGCCTCACCTGAGCATGCCAGCTGACCCACATGTGCCTCACCTGAGCATGCCAGCTGACCCACATGTGCCTCACCTGAGCATGCCAGCTGACCCACATGTGCCTCACCTGAGCATGCCAGCTGACCCACATGTGCCTCACCTGAGCATGCCAGCTGACCCACATGTGCCTCACCTGAGCATGCCAGCTGACCCACATGTGCCTCACCTGAGCATGCCAGCTGACCCACATGTGCCTCACCTGAGCATGCCAGCTGACCCACATGTGCCTCACCTGAGCATGCCAGCTGACCCACATGTGCCTCACCTGAGCATGCCAGCTGACCCACATGTGCCTCACCTGAGCATGCCAGCTGACCCACATGTGCCTCACCTGAGCATGCCAGCTGACCCACATGTGCCTCACCTGAGCATGCCAGCTGACCCACATGTGCCTCACCTGAGCATGCCAGCTGACCCACATGTGCCTCACCTGAGCATGCCAGCTGACCCACATGTGCCTCACCTGAGCATGCCAGCTGACCCACATGTGCCTCACCTGAGCATGCCAGCTGACCCACATGTGCCTCACCTGAGCATGCCAGCTGACCCACATGTGCCTCACCTGAGCATGCCAGCTGACCCACATGTGCCTCACCTGAGCATGCCAGCTGACCCACATGTGCCTCACCTGAGCATGCCAGCTGACCCACATGTGCCTCACCTGAGCATGCCAGCTGACCCACATGTGCCTCACCTGAGCATGCCAGCTGACCCACATGTGCCTCACCTGAGCATGCCAGCTGACCCACATGTGCCTCACCTGAGCATGCCAGCTGACCCACATGTGCCTCACCTGAGCATGCCAGCTGACCCACATGTGCCTCACCTGAGCATGCCAGCTGACCCACATGTGCCTCACCTGAGCATGCCAGCTGACCCACATGTGCCTCACCTGAGCATGCCAGCTGACCCACATGTGCCTCACCTGAGCATGCCAGCTGACCCACATGTGCCTCACCTGAGCATGCCAGCTGACCCACATGTGCCTCACCTGAGCATGCCAGCTGACCCACATGTGCCTCACCTGAGCATGCCAGCTGACCCACATGTGCCTCACCTGAGCATGCCAGCTGACCCACATGTGCCTCACCTGAGCATGCCAGCTGACCCACATGTGCCTCACCTGAGCATGCCAGCTGACCCACATGTGCCTCACCTGAGCATGCCAGCTGACCCACATGTGCCTCACCTGAGCATGCCAGCTGACCCACATGTGCCTCACCTGAGCATGCCAGCTGACCCACATGTGCCTCACCTGAGCATGCCAGCTGACCCACATGTGCCTCACCTGAGCATGCCAGCTGACCCACATGTGCCTCACCTGAGCATGCCAGCTGACCCACATGTGCCTCACCTGAGCATGCCAGCTGACCCACATGTGCCTCACCTGAGCATGCCAGCTGACCCACATGTGCCTCACCTGAGCATGCCAGCTGACCCACATGTGCCTCACCTGAGCATGCCAGCTGACCCACATGTGCCTCACCTGAGCATGCCAGCTGACCCACATGTGCCTCACCTGAGCATGCCAGCTGACCCACATGTGCCTCACCTGAGCATGCCAGCTGACCCACATGTGCCTCACCTGAGCATGCCAGCTGACCCACATGTGCCTCACCTGAGCATGCCAGCTGACCCACATGTGCCTCACCTGAGCATGCCAGCTGACCCACATGTGCCTCACCTGAGCATGCCAGCTGACCCACATGTGCCTCACCTGAGCATGCCAGCTGACCCACATGTGCCTCACCTGAGCATGCCAGCTGACCCACATGTGCCTCACCTGAGCATGCCAGCTGACCCACATGTGCCTCACCTGAGCATGCCAGCTGACCCACATGTGCCTCACCTGAGCATGCCAGCTGACCCACATGTGCCTCACCTGAGCATGCCAGCTGACCCACATGTGCCTCACCTGAGCATGCCAGCTGACCCACATGTGCCTCACCTGAGCATGCCAGCTGACCCACATGTGCCTCACCTGAGCATGCCAGCTGACCCACATGTGCCTCACCTGAGCATGCCAGCTGACCCACATGTGCCTCACCTGAGCATGCCAGCTGACCCACATGTGCCTCACCTGAGCATGCCAGCTGACCCACATGTGCCTCACCTGAGCATGCCAGCTGACCCACATGTGCCTCACCTGAGCATGCCAGCTGACCCACATGTGCCTCACCTGAGCATGCCAGCTGACCCACATGTGCCTCACCTGAGCATGCCAGCTGACCCACATGTGCCTCACCTGAGCATGCCAGCTGACCCACATGTGCCTCACCTGAGCATGCCAGCTGACCCACATGTGCCTCACCTGAGCATGCCAGCTGACCCACATGTGCCTCACCTGAGCATGCCAGCTGACCCACATGTGCCTCACCTGAGCATGCCAGCTGACCCACATGTGCCTCACCTGAGCATGCCAGCTGACCCACATGTGCCTCACCTGAGCATGCCAGCTGACCCACATGTGCCTCACCTGAGCATGCCAGCTGACCCACATGTGCCTCACCTGAGCATGCCAGCTGACCCACATGTGCCTCACCTGAGCATGCCAGCTGACCCACATGTGCCTCACCTGAGCATGCCAGCTGACCCACATGTGCCTCACCTGAGCATGCCAGCTGACCCACATGTGCCTCACCTGAGCATGCCAGCTGACCCACATGTGCCTCACCTGAGCATGCCAGCTGACCCACATGTGCCTCACCTGAGCATGCCAGCTGACCCACATGTGCCTCACCTGAGCATGCCAGCTGACCCACATGTGCCTCACCTGAGCATGCCAGCTGACCCACATGTGCCTCACCTGAGCATGCCAGCTGACCCACATGTGCCTCACCTGAGCATGCCAGCTGACCCACATGTGCCTCACCTGAGCATGCCAGCTGACCCACATGTGCCTCACCTGAGCATGCCAGCTGACCCACATGTGCCTCACCTGAGCATGCCAGCTGACCCACATGTGCCTCACCTGAGCATGCCAGCTGACCCACATGTGCCTCACCTGAGCATGCCAGCTGACCCACATGTGCCTCACCTGAGCATGCCAGCTGACCCACATGTGCCTCACCTGAGCATGCCAGCTGACCCACATGTGCCTCACCTGAGCATGCCAGCTGACCCACATGTGCCTCACCTGAGCATGCCAGCTGACCCACATGTGCCTCACCTGAGCATGCCAGCTGACCCACATGTGCCTCACCTGAGCATGCCAGCTGACCCACATGTGCCTCACCTGAGCATGCCAGCTGACCCACATGTGCCTCACCTGAGCATGCCAGCTGACCCACATGTGCCTCACCTGAGCATGCCAGCTGACCCACATGTGCCTCACCTGAGCATGCCAGCTGACCCACATGTGCCTCACCTGAGCATGCCAGCTGACCCACATGTGCCTCACCTGAGCATGCCAGCTGACCCACATGTGCCTCACCTGAGCATGCCAGCTGACCCACATGTGCCTCACCTGAGCATGCCAGCTGACCCACATGCGCCTCACCTGAGCATGCCAGCTGACCCACATGTGCCTCACCTGAGCATGCCAGCTGACCCACATGCGCCTCACCTGAGCATGCCAGCTGACCCACATGCGCCTCACCTGAGCATGCCAGCTGACCCACATGCGCCTCACCTGAGCATGCCAGCTGACCCACATGCGCCTCACCTGAGCATGCCAGCTGACCCACATGTGCCTCACCTGAGCATGCCAGCTGACCCACATGTGCCTCACCTGAGCATGCCAGCTGACCCACATGTGCCTCACCTGAGCATGCCAGCTGACCCACATGTGCCTCACCTGAGCATGCCAGCTGACCCACATGTGCCTCACCTGAGCATGCCAGCTGACCCACATGTGCCTCACCTGAGCATGCCAGCTGACCCACATGTGCCTCACCTGAGCATGCCAGCTGACCCACATGTGCCTCACCTGAGCATGCCAGCTGACCCACATGTGCCTCACCTGAGCATGCCAGCTGACCCACATGTGCCTCACCTGAGCATGCCAGCTGACCCACATGTGCCTCACCTGAGCATGCCAGCTGACCCACATGTGCCTCACCTGAGCATGCCAGCTGACCCACATGTGCCTCACCTGAGCATGCCAGCTGACCCACATGTGCCTCACCTGAGCATGCCAGCTGACCCACATGTGCCTCACCTGAGCATGCCAGCTGACCCACATGTGCCTCACCTGAGCATGCCAGCTGACCCACATGTGCCTCACCTGAGCATGCCAGCTGACCCACATGTGCCTCACCTGAGCATGCCAGCTGACCCACATGTGCCTCACCTGAGCATGCCAGCTGACCCACATGTGCCTCACCTGAGCATGCCAGCTGACCCACATGTGCCTCACCTGAGCATGCCAGCTGACCCACATGTGCCTCACCTGAGCATGCCAGCTGACCCACATGTGCCTCACCTGAGCATGCCAGCTGACCCACATGTGCCTCACCTGAGCATGCCAGCTGACCCACATGTGCCTCACCTGAGCATGCCAGCTGACCCACATGTGCCTCACCTGAGCATGCCAGCTGACCCACATGTGCCTCACCTGAGCATGCCAGCTGACCCACATGTGCCTCACCTGAGCATGCCAGCTGACCCACATGTGCCTCACCTGAGCATGCCAGCTGACCCACATGTGCCTCACCTGAGCATGCCAGCTGACCCACATGTGTCTCACCTGAGCATGCCAGCTGACCCACATGTGCCTCACCTGAGCATGCCAGCTGACCCACATGTGCCTCACCTGAGCATGCCAGCTGACCCACATGTGCCTCACCTGAGCATGCCAGCTGACCCACATGTGCCTCACCTGAGCATGCCAGCTGACCCACATGTGCCTCACCTGAGCATGCCAGCTGACCCACATGTGCCTCACCTGAGCATGCCAGCTGACCCACATGTGCCTCACCTGAGCATGCCAGCTGACCCACATGTGCCTCACCTGAGCATGCCAGCTGACCCACATGTGCCTCACCTGAGCATGCCAGCTGACCCACATGTGCCTCACCTGAGCATGCCAGCTGACCCACATGTGCCTCACCTGAGCATGCCAGCTGACCCACATGTGCCTCACCTGAGCATGCCAGCTGACCCACATGCGCCTCACCTGAGCATGCCAGCTGACCCACATGCGCCTCACCTGAGCATGCCAGCTGACCCACATGCGCCTCACCTGAGCATGCCAGCTGACCCACATGCGCCTCACCTGAGCATGCCAGCTGACCCACATGCGCCTCACCTGAGCATGCCAGCTGACCCACATGTGCCTCACCTGAGCATGCCAGCTGACCCACATGTGCCTCACCTGAGCATGCCAGCTGACCCACATGTGCCTCACCTGAGCATGCCAGCTGACCCACATGTGCCTCACCTGAGCATGCCAGCTGACCCACATGTGCCTCACCTGAGCATGCCAGCTGACCCACATGTGCCTCACCTGAGCATGCCAGCTGACCCACATGTGCCTCACCTGAGCATGCCAGCTGACCCACATGTGCCTCACCTGAGCATGCCAGCTGACCCACATGTGCCTCACCTGAGCATGCCAGCTGACCCACATGTGCCTCACCTGAGCATGCCAGCTGACCCACATGTGCCTCACCTGAGCATGCCAGCTGACCCACATGTGCCTCACCTGAGCATGCCAGCTGACCCACATGTGCCTCACCTGAGCATGCCAGCTGACCCACATGTGCCTCACCTGAGCATGCCAGCTGACCCACATGTGCCTCACCTGAGCATGCCAGCTGACCCACATGTGCCTCACCTGAGCATGCCAGCTGACCCACATGTGCCTCACCTGAGCATGCCAGCTGACCCACATGTGCCTCACCTGAGCATGCCAGCTGACCCACATGTGCCTCACCTGAGCATGCCAGCTGACCCACATGTGCGTCACCTGAGCATGCCAGCTGACCCACATGTGCCTCACCTGAGCATGCCAGCTGACCCACATGTGCCTCACCTGAGCATGCCAGCTGACCCACATGTGCCTCACCTGAGCATGCCAGCTGACCCACATGTGCCTCACCTGAGCATGCCAGCTGACCCACATGTGCCTCACATGAGCATGCCAGCTGACCCACATGTGCCTCACCTGAGCATGCCAGCTGACCCACATGTGCCTCACCTGAGCATGCCAGCTGACCCACATGTGCCTCACCTGAGCATGCCAGCTGACCCACATGTGCCTCACCTGAGCATGCCAGCTGACCCACATGTGCCTCACCTGAGCATGCCAGCTGACCCACATGTGCGTCATGTCCACATCGGCCAGTCGCAGCACACGCGCCGCCATCACATGCACTCCCACTCCCAACGCCCATCCCGTCAGCACACCTCTTCCCTCTCTCCTTCCCTCCCCTCCTCCTCCTCCTCCTCCACCAGTCCCCATACCCCCACGCCCCCCCATCACCACGCCCACCATGGGTCGCACCACAAACAGTGGATCCCCTCCTACTCGACCATACTCGCCCATCCCCACCCCTCCGCACCGCTCACTGCACCTGTCGAACCCCCTCGCTCCCCACACTCGTGCCTCTAGTCCCACCCCCATGCTGCTCGCCCTTGGCTGTGCCTCGGGATTTGATCCTACAAGTGATTCGGCTCCTGGAATCAAATCCAGTGTTGCGAGATCTGATGCTTCGGCTGACAAGGAGAGATTTTGGGCGGCAGCTGGGCCTGCTGAGGTGGCAGCTACTGATTGGAGGATGGAGGAGTAGGTGGCTGGGAGGGAAGCAATGCGATTGGCCACGTGCATGCCGTAGGCGGTGTGTCTCTGTTGGTTGATGACGTGGCAGAGATGGGCTGATGGCCACCTCAGCATGAAGCGCACCGCCTGCGCCCGCCACCAGTGGACCTTGAGTGGGGAAGAGAGAGGGTGGGGTGCGAATTCATGGTGTGACTTGGAATAGCTTTGAAGCACACCGCCTGCGCCCGCCACCAGTGCACCTGAGGAAGGGAGGAGAAGGGTGCAAGCAGAATACGAACCAGAAAACAATAAGAGCACCCTGCGCCCGCCACCAGTGCACCTTCAGTCGGAGAGAGAGAGGGTGGGGTGCGAATTCATGGTGTGCCTCAAAGTAGCTTTCATGCACCTGCCTGCACCCGCCACCATTGCACCTGGTTGGTTGGAGGAGGCGGTGGGGCAAGCAGAATAAGAAAAGGAAAGAGCACCCTGCGCCCGCCAGCAGTGCAACTTTTGTGTCATGGCGAGGGGGAAGGAGGAAGGGCGAAGACAGAAGAAAGAATAAGGAGAGTGCAAAGTCACACCTGGCAGCAGTGCAGGTGGTGGGGAAGAATGAGGACAGCTCATTGCTTATCAACAGCCCCGCCTGTTCCCATCCCACCAGCAGTGCCCTTCACCATGCAGCGCACCGGTGGGCTCGTTGCCAAGGCAGACAGGACAGCAGGGGTGGAGAGGGGATGAAAGAAGAGAAAGGGGGAGGAAGGGGGAAGGGCAGTAGGGATGGATGGAGCGGCATGAACGAGAGGACTCCAGCTCTCACGGATAAGGATGCTCCCCTGGGAGCATGGCTTCCCTTGCCAACGGAGCACGCCCAACAATGCGTCACCACTCACCACCGCTTGGCACATGTTCGTATCTCTACCTAGCTCCCACCCACCTGTGGTTTCAGGTCATCTGCAGGTGGCACCTCCCCCAGATACTCCCTGCGCGCCTGCTGCTCCCTATGCGCCCCTCCCCAACTGATGGCAGAGGCAGCGACACACGCAGGTGGGGGGGCGGAGGGGGTACAGGGGGGTAGGAGGGGTTATGGGGGAGAGAGTGAAAGGGGCATGGCAGTGTGAGCAGGCAGGCAGGGCAGCGAGGCACTGTCAAAAAAGAGACATGCGGAGCACACAAGCAGCACGAAATGGAGCTAGAGACAGTGCATGTGAGCAGTATGGGATGAACGGCAATACATGCGCCACACACAGGACTTAAAGGCGCAGGGATCAAGCCCATACATCTTGGTTGCTCTGGCCTCCACCAATGAGAGAGCAGCACTGCTGGATTGGTCCACGTCAGACGCATCCAAACACACCACCCTCTCTGCTGACGTGGCCAGCTGCTCAAACTGAGATGTGTCGCGGTGACACGTCGGCATGCGACTGGCAGCCATGGAAGCGGTGACGTCAGCAGAGCAGTGAGGGGAGGCGATGGGGAAGAAGAAGCAGCCCCAGTCGCCCATGCTGCCATGGCTGCCCACGCCGCCCATTGGCTGGAACTCTGCCATGCCATGCCATGCCATGCCATCGCATCCCATACCATACCATCCCATATCATCCCATACCATACCATACCATACCATACCATACCATACCACACCATACCACACCACACCACACCACACCACACCACACCACACCACACCACACCACACCACACCTCACCACACCACACCATACCATACCATACCATACCATCACATCCCATAGCATAGCATACCATCCCATCCCATCCCATCCCATTCCATCCCATCCCATCCCATCCCATGCCATATCATAAGATGCCATATTATGCCAATCCATGCCATATAACGTCATGGTATATTAAGAATACAACATCAAGTCAGGTGTATTTGTGTCTGTAGCAGACACACTTGACACAATGTGAGGAGCGAGGACAGGCCTTCAAAAACCCATACGAGCCAGTACCAGGATAAACAGGCGTGACGGCGGTGAACATTATTTAGGCCAAGGGCAAAAGAAACTTTGAGGCTTAGAGAACGGGATACGTTTCAGAAGGCATTAACCCTAGCCTGCCTGGTGATTGGGCATAGTGACGCTTGAAACACAACACAAGTGCGTTTCCTGCCTGTGCACGGAACTACTGTTTTGCTTGAGATTGTGAGGCACTCACATGATAACAGCAGAATGGTATGGATGGTGCGGAAGCACGCATGGCGGCGACCAACACGTGCTGCCTGCACTGCGCTGCGCTGCGCTGTGAAGGGCGCCCACCCGCCCAGCACTCACCTCTGCACACCTGGTTGTTGGCTGGCTGGAAGGTTCCTGGAAGCGGCACGAGGGTTCGGTTGTGGAGCATGGCAAGGGCGAGCAGTGGTGCCATGGCGTGCAGCTGACAGGCGCATGGGGCCACGGGGATGGGGGTGACACGCATGATGTGCATGCGGACTCATCAAAATTCAGGGGCAATGAGGGGCGAGGGTGGGGTGAGGGCTAGGGTGGTGAGGGTGAGGGGGGGAGAGGTGGACGAGGATTGAGTGAGCACCCAACGAAAACGCATCCCACCGCAACAGAGGAACACCAGAGGGGTACCTGACGTGCGAGAGAGAAGCGAGAGGCATCGGGCCAAGGTGCAACCAGCAGGTGCCTGTCTTGACAGCCACGTGGCGGCATCTGATTGGTCCAGATGTCTCTCTGCGCCTCCCTGGTGTGCGCCAGGCTGTCAGCATCTGAGCCGCGCACCTGCCATGCCATGGCGTGGGGGCACATGCCATGGGGAGAAAGCACATGCCATGGGGTGAGGGCACTTGCCATGGGGAGAAAGCACATGCCATGGGGTGAGGGGACATGCCATGGGGAGAAAGCACATGCCATGGGGTGAGGGCACATGCCATGGGGAGAAAGCACATGCCATGGGGTGAGGGCACATGCCATGGGGAGAAAGCACATGCCATGGGGTGAGTGAGGGCACATGCCATGCCACCACCAGGGGGCAGGGGCGCGCAGGGAGGGGTGTGCAGGGAGGGGCGCGTAGGGAGGGGCGCGTAGGGAGGGGCGAAAGGGGAAGGGCAGGCAGAGGTTATGAAAGGTGAGCCGTGAGACGGCAGGCGCGCAATAGCAGGCGCTGCATGATGCATAGTGAGAGGCGCTTCGCCTCCCCTCGTCCACTCATCGGCCCGCGGGCTGCGCTCGCGCTGCTGTGTGCTCGGGGCATGCGGGCGAGACAGAGCAGAGGAGGAACGCACAGAGGAGAGTGAAGGAGAGAGGAATGGATGGAAGTGCAGTGGATGCAGGGGAAAGGAGGAGAAGAGGAGACAGTGGAGAGAGGAGGTGAGAGGTGCAGAGCAGCAGAGAGCAGGGTGGCATGGGTCGGATGAATCAAGCACTCGTGAGCATGACACGGGAGGGGACGACTGGAGTGTGACTATATCCAGGGTGTTTGTGACTATACCCAGGGTGTCTGTGACTATGCCCAGGGTGTCTGTGACCCTGGGTGTCTGTGACTATACCCAGGGTGTCTGTGACTATGCCCAGGGTGTCTGTGACCCTGGGTGTCTGTGACTATACCCAGGGTGTCTGTGGCGAGCAATGGCAGCAGGAAGGCTGCACGGCCCACTTAGGCAAATCTCCCTCCCCTCCCCCTCCGCCGCCCCCTCCGCCGCGTTGTTCCGCGATGAAGCGGTAGAACGACACCTGCGCGCAGTCCTCCAGGTGCGGCGCGGGCGGAACGTTTGCGGGGAGCGCGAGCGGGGAAGGGGGGAGCGCGGAGCGCGGGTCGTCCGCGAGGCCGTACGCGGCGGTCCACGCGCGGAAAAGCGACATGCCGTGCTCCATCGCGCCCGCCTCGACCGCCGCCGCGCGCGCGAGTTGCACGGTGGCACATGCGCAAAGGCCGCAGAGGCAGAGCGACGCTACCGTGAAGGCTGTTGGCGACGCTTTCGGGCGACGCGGAGGTCCATCGCCGTGCGACGTGCGACGCGCCACGCTTCTGTGCATGGCAGGTGCGTGGAAGATATGTACCGCTTTATACGGCGCTCAGTGCAGGAAAACAAGTGGGTCAGGCGAATTATATGGGATCCGAAAGTTACCAGCGGAAAACATTCAATAATGTAACAAGGCATTGCAACTGGAATTGAAACCTCGGGAAGCAGTGTACTGTAAGCTGAATCCTCGCTCGCTCGTTTCGTGCTGAGTTCCGTTTGGAAATCACGTTCGCGGCTGTTGGAATTGGAAGGTTCATTCGGGAAGCATCGCGAAGCTACACGAACGTCATCTCACGAATCAAATGTCGCCGTGAATTCGCAATCGAACGCCAGAACCATCCACCGCCCAGAACCACTCGTCGACGCTAAATTGCCTCATCCTGGAGCAGGCCCAAAACAATTTCAGTTCAGCTCAGGTGGTGGAGTACGATAATGTGCAGCGCAGAGCGGTTTTCTTCCTTGACCACTCTCAACCGCACCACTAGACAGCCTGAACATTCATGCCTGACCCAGGAACGAACTTTCAGCAATCAAAAGATGTGGCGTAATTGGATCCACATGCTCATACCACCGCCGCCTTTTTTATGTCGGAAGCAATTATAGTAGGCCATAGCGTATACTCCTCTCTCCAACGCCTATCCGCGCCTAACGCTGCGCTTCTGCCGCTTAGCCCCACTTCTGTTCATTTCGGGCTGGCCCGCGCCTCGACCGCTGAGATCGATTCCGTCCCACGATCGCCGCTCTCCTCCGTGCCTCGCTGCCGGGTCGCGCCTCTCCCTGCACTCGAGTGCGCGCGGAATCATGTTCGGAGTGCTCTTCCCCAATCGCAGCTTCCCTCTGGACGTGTCGCGTTTTAAACAGGTCGACACCTTCCATTGGGTGCTCGAGATGAACATGTTCGTCGGTAAGCCCTTCACTTATGTAAGCTTTTCGCTTAGATAAGCCTTTCCATTATATTAAGCCTTTTCCCTAAATGTCATCTTACTTAGGTAAGCTTCTCAGCAAAATACCCCCAGTTAGCCACTTCCCTACCTATGTCCGTTCACGCCCGCGAACGTTCCTCAAGCATGATCTTCCCCTTGCGCCACGTGTCCCGTCAACCCACGTGGCAGGCGACGCGTACGACCAGGTGAAGGAGATCTGCATCTTTCTGCTCTCCGAGGCCGCGCTGCCGCCCGGCCAAGCGCTCGCCGTGTACGTGCAGGCGCCCGGGTCGCCCTTTGAGTACCGCGGCGCCGTCCACCTCGGCTGCCCCTCCGCCGTCCTCCCGCTCCTCTGGCCGCCCGCCGTCGCCCCTACCGGCGCCGTGCTGCCGGCCGCGCCGCCTGGCGGCGTCCTTCCGACGGCGCAGATCGGCATCTCAGTCGAGCCTTTAGCGTCGCTGCCGCTGCAGAGCGTGGGGTGGCAGCGGCGCATCGAGGAGATGGCGCTCAAGGTGGGGCAGAACCTGTTCAACTACATGCAGTCGTTCAGCACCGTGCAGGGTAACATGCTGCTCGTCCCCTCCGACATTCTCGACCGCTGGTTTAAGAAGTTCCAGGATAAAGCGAAAATGGACCCTGATTTCCTGAATAGGTTTAATGTATAACCGGCTGCTCCTGGCAGCACTGTGGCGCCTCTGCTCCGCAATTTGTCCGCCTTGCCGCTTCACTCCCTTGTTCTGTACCGTGCCATGGCTTGCCACGGATGCGTTTCTGCCTCCCCCTGCCCACCCATCATCTCCCTCCTACCCCAGCCCCGCTCTCCCCACCATCCCTCAACCCCACGGTCGTCTCACGCTCACCTCTCAGCCCGCAGACCAGACTGCCCCCATCCTGCACTCCACTCCACCAGCCTTGCTCAACTCAACCCTCCCTACTGCTGCTGCTGCCATCCCTCTCCCACTTCTGCCATCCTTTCTCGCTCACTCATGTGTCTCCCTCCTCCTCCACCTCACCTCCGCATATCGCCCACCTACTGGTACTTGCCTCTCTCACCCACTGGTCCTCTGTCCATCCCTTTCCCACCTACCGCCAGCCATCATTTCCGCAGCAACTGATTTTCCCGTCCACACACATTCAAATCAGAACGCGCTCAGCCAGCCCATTTCAATTCGCACCAAAACAGTACGCAAGGGTGATGGCAACAAATAAAGTGAGGCGCCAACTGAACGGCAAGAGGTGTAACAGCCTGATAAAACAAGTGGTGGACGTACTGCAGAGAGTGTTTCGCTGGGTGTACAAATCATCACTTTAGCTTGTATCGAGATTTGCGCGTAAACAAGGTTCGGATCCTCCGCATACCGACCAAGTCAAGAAAACGTTTGTCTGCTCTTTCCCAAGCGCGTTGTGGGGGCCGTACTCCTATGCCACGTTCGCGCAACCATCCTGCAGCGGTTGCGACCTTCCCCATCCACGTGTGCTCCATGCCCGCGCGGTCGTGACGGTGACGGCGCGCTGGAACGCCTCGCGTGTGTCCACCGCTGCCCGCGTCACCCGCGCAGAGTCACCCGCGCAGAGCCACCCGCCTGGCCGGGCAGCGGAACGCGTCGCTACGAGCATGGCGTCCCGCCTGGCGGCGCGCGCCCGCTCACCGTCAGCGCCACAGTCGTGGCTGCGGCTTCTCGCGGCGGCGCTTCTCGTGCTGCTGCTGCTGGTGGCGCGCACGGCCCCGCGCGGTCTCGCGGCAGGTTTGCGCGAATTCTCCGTGAGCGGGGAGGCGGGCCCCGAGCACGTCCTCTCGCTGTACCGCGTTGAGTACCCCCCCGCGTTCTTCCCCCTCCCTGTGCATCGTTCCCCGTGTCCTCGTCGCCACTTGCCTTGCGCAAGTCATGACGCGAAAATCTCTCGTCCACCCTCCCCCCCTTACGTGTCCTCTTTCCCCTCTCCTCCCTTCCGTTCCATTCCCCTGCTCTGCCATCGGTCCTCCCCCGCTCTCCCCTCCCGCTTCCCCACCTACCCTTCTCCTTCCCGCAGGCGTGGGCGGACGCCTACGGGCTCTCCGCCGACTCGCTGCTTCCGCCCTCGCCCCTCTCCCTTCCGCCTTCCCTCCCCCCCGCCCCTCATCTCGAGGACTGCGCCGCGCTCACAGCGCTGCGCCAGCAGGCGGAGCAGCGGGGGGAAGGGGGGGCCCTTCCCTCATGGGCGGGGCCCTTAGACTCGTGCAACCCCACGCCCCACCCGCCTTGGGTACGCCACTCCGTACCCTGCACAGCTCCCCTTCCGCCTTTGTCACCCTCCCACCACCTCCGATGTTGCTGCCTCCTTCCTTGTCATCCCGATGTCACTCCCCTCCTCCCTCGCGCACCCCTCTGTTACCATGCAGGCGCGCGGTTCTTAACCAGCTCACCCCCCTCCCCCTCCCCCCTCCTGCCCATCCCCACAACCACCCCCCTGTCACCATGCAGGTGCGCGGGACGGACGCGGCCAATCTGGCGATGACACGTGTCGTGCAGCGGGACATCTGGGTGAACCAGTTCCCGGGCGGCTCATGTGCGGACAGGCGCCTGCTGGTGGTGTCGTGGCCACCCGACTTCCAGCACGGGGTGGGGTCGCAGGTAGGACTTCCAGCACGGGGTGGGGTCGCAGGTAGGACTTCCAGCATGGGGTGGGGTCGCAGGTACGCGCGTGCTTGCGAGTGTGTGGGTGGGAAGGCGGACAGGGGGACACATGCGTGTGTCGGGGCAGGCGGATACGGGGGCACACGCCCATGTGCATGGGATAACTGCTTTCCTCCCTCCCCTCACTGTGCCCATACATGCACAGGTGCATGTGATGACGTCATTCCTCAGCATTGCCATGCGCCACAACCGCACGCTTGTGCCGGACCCCTTGAACTACAACCGCGCTTACACTGACCAGTGCGAAGGTGAGGTGCGATGGCAGCATACTCGTGCGACACCGATCGGCGTGCAGGTGAGGGGCGGCCACAACATAGTCATGTGCCGTGCTCACCCCTCTGTCATCCCCACTGCCTTGCAAGCCCATGCCTATCACCCTCAACTCCATTACTTCGTGTCTCCACCCACCACACACCCTCTTCATTGCTATCCCACGCACGCCTCTCGCTCGCTGCTGCACCATGCTGGGTCCCCGTGCGTTCTCTCGTGCCCATCCCATGACCATCCACAACATCCCGCCGAACACCTATCTGCTCTTCCTTCAGATCACTCACAAGGGAATGAAACCTTTCAAGTCGACTCAAACAACAACAGTCTGCTCATCAGCGTTGCCTCTCCTCCCCCCCCCTCAACCTCCTCTTCTCCCAGGCATGGGCAAGACAGGCCAGTGGGAGTGCTACTTCTTCCCCATCGTGGCAGCGGAGTGTGAGCGAGTGGTGATGGCGGCCAAGGACAGCAACAGCGTGGTGTGGGGCAAGAAGGCCGTGGGCGCGCTGTGTGCGTCGCAGCACCGCGTGGTGGGCGTGGAGGGCATGCCGTACCTTGAGCTGGACCACGAGGCCACCGTTGCCCTGTGCGTGGGGGAGGGCATGAGCAGAGGGCACGAGTGCATGCATGCGTGGGTGGGTGCGTGAGTGAGTGCATTGGGGGGTTGCATTCATGACTGCAGGGCATGCCGTACCTCCAGCATGCCACATGCCACAGCTCGACCACCACGCCACAGGTGCCCTGTGCCGTGCATGAGTGCATGGGGGAGCGTGTGCGTGAGTACACATACTGAACCTCGAACCAAACCGGTTCGAGCTTTTTTTTTTTTTTTTTTTTTTTTTTTTGGGTCAAGCCAAACTGATAAACTTAATCCGACTGCGGCTCAAGTGGTACAGTTTTCTTCAATTCGAGCTATATTTCCGAGGAGCGATGATACGAACCACTTCAGCCACATGCCGGACAGGTCATCCATGAGTGCGGTGATTGGGATGGGACGCATGTGTATGAGGGTGTGTGTGTGGTACTTGCCATGACACAAATGATTTTTAGTTGAATTCTTGTGAACCCGTTTGTGAGGATTGGTTTGAGATTTCTAGTAGACCATCACATACCTTGGTTTGAAATTTCTAATAACTGGTTTGACACATACTATGAAGCCGTTGCTTGGATCCTGGTTAGGTATTACCAGAAAACCATCACATCAGTAGGGTCGTTACTTGAATATGTTGGTATTAAATGTGAAGAAGTTACTGTTTTTACTGGTTTCATACTTACCATGAGACCGTTTTTCATCCTTTTGATTTGATGCTTCTGGCTATTCAACAAATAGCTTGGTATTGACTAAAAAATCTCATTACGTATTTGATATTTACCAAGGGTGAATTCAGGGCTCGTGTTGTGTCAGACCTCAGGTTTGAGCTGCCGAGCCTCCACTCTGGGCCTTCCAAGCCTCCACCACATGTCATTTTTTCCTCTTTTCCTGTAACCGAGCTATCTTCGGGCCAAGCGCGCTTCACCTGAGGGATGACATAAGCCCGAACTTACCCCAAGTAGCGGTGTTATCACAACCAGGAGAGACGAATGGAACGCAATTGAGAGTGAAGTGGGGGCGGGTGGTTGGTATTGTAGGCGTCACAGCCACCCTGCATTGCCCAGTTGTGCTGCCTGTGTGGGCTTTGCCTTTACACACACTACCCTGCAGCTGGGAATCCGTTGCTGTGGCGAATCTTTCTTGAAGCTTCCATGCTTTCCCTCCTTCCCTCCCTCCTGTCTTTCATCCCGCCATCCCCCTCTTTCCCTCTTTCCCCTCTCCCTCGTCTCTCAGGCGGTGGGGGCAGCCCCACTTGCACCGCCCTAGCACGGTGTGGTTCCCCCCTGGCGCCGCAGCTAACGATGACAGGACCCCCCAGGTGCGCACAGCAACAAACAACATCTCACTTAGTCACAACAACAAATCCATCAGGTGTTTGCAACAGGAAGAATTCTCTTAGCTCAGGTGTGTGCAACAATATGCTCATGCCATCCCCATGACCTGCTCTCCTCTGCCATCCCCATGACCTGCTCTCCTCTGCCATCCCCGTGACCTGCTCTCCTCTGCCATCCCCATGACCTGCTCTCCTCTGCCATCCCCATGACCTGCTCTCCTCTGCCATCCCCGTGACCTGCTCTCCTCTGCCATCCCCATGACCTGCTCTCCTCTGCCATCCCCATGACCTGCTCTCCTCTGCCATCCCCATGACCTGCTCTCCTCTGCCATCCCCATGACCTGCTCTCCTCTGCCATCCCCATGACCTGCTCTCCTCTGCCATCCCCATGACCTGCTCTCCTCTGCCATCCCCGTGACCTGCTCTCCTCTGCCATCCCCATGACCTGCTCTCCTCTGCCATCCCCATGACCTGCTCTCCTCTGCCATCCCCATGACCTGCTCTCCTCTGCCATCCCCGTGACCTGCTCTCCTCTGCCATCCCCATGACCTGCTCTCCTCTGCCATCGGCATCACCTGCCCTTGTCATGACATGAAGGTGCACAGGTGGCGGGCGCAGGGTGCATTATCATTTCCTCGTTCCTATTCTGCTTGGCCCCCCCTCCACCTCCCTCCCTCAGGTGCACTGGTGGCGGGCGCAGGCGGTGCGCTTCATGCTGAGGTGGCCATCAGCCCATCTCTGCCACGTCATCAACCAACAGAGACACACCGCCTACGGCATGCACACAGCCAATCGCATCGCTCGCTTCACCGAGACCCAATCGGAGTTGATCGCTGCAATCAAAGCAGCCTCTCACAACAGCAGCAGCAGCAGCACCCCTGGCACGGACAGCAGTAACAGCAGCAGCAGCACGAGCACCGAGAGCAGCCCTGGCAGCCTGCCTGCAGAAGCGGCGGCGGTGGGCGGCATGTCATTGGCGTCGCCTGCCGTGCGGGCTGCACTGGCCCGCGTCCCATGGGCGTATGACTCGCCCCCCCGCTCCCTTGCCCAGGACCCAGCAGCGGTGCAGGGGGGCGTGGAGGGAGTGGGGGCTGCGGGGGTTGTGGGCAGTGGTGGTGGGAACCAGTGTGGGGGAGGGCAGGAAGGCGGTAGCAGTGCTGCCGAGGCCGTCAGCAGGCTAGCTGGTGAGGTGAGGCGAGGCGAGGAGAGGAGAGGAGAGAAGAGGAGAGGAGAGGAGAGGAGAGAAGAGGAGAGGAGAGGAGAGGAGAGGGGAGGAGAGGAAAGGACAGTAGAGGAGAGGAGAGGACAAGAGAGGTGAGGAGAGGTGAGGTGAGGAGAGGTGAGGGTGCAAAGAAAGGGGCGGGGAGAATGATGGGGGAGAGGGTGGGTGCGAGCAGTTGAGAAGGTGAATAAGCTGCTCAATCCTTTACCATGTACAGCAGCATGCAGAAGGCAACCCCCTGTCCCTCTCTGTGGCACGAGCAGGTGGGTGGTGAGGCATACATGGTGCGGCCGGTGGTGGCGGTGCATGTGAGGGGCAGCGACAAGGAGGAGGAGATGGGGCTGCTGGGGCTGCCTGTGTACTTGTACTATGCGCACCAGCTCAGACTGCTGCTGCCTGACCTACGCCACGCGTGGATCAACACTGAGTCGCAGGTGCGTGCTGCAGCGCGCCCTCACATGTGCAGCACTGCGCCCTCACACACACCCCGGTAGCACATACCTGCACATGCATGTGCGTGTGCTCTTCTTCGTCTTCGTTTTGCTTCATTTCCAGCATGCAAGACACGTGGCAGCGTACCTGCACATGTGCGTATCAAGTGAGCTGCAGGAATGATCCTAAGTAAGCGTTTCAGCCCACCCCCACCGTTCAGTGGTCTCTCGTGAATAATTTCGCAATTCTCAACAACGCATCGTGCAACTCCCTTCCTATTCCCCCATGCCCACTCCCATCACACCAGGCTGTGATAGACAGCCTCGCCTCGTACCACGACTGGACGTTCCTCTACAGCAGCAACGCGCGGCAGCCCGCCACGGCCAACAATACTCGGGAGTACGACGACAAGCAGTCCGTCGCTGCCAGCTTCGCCAGCCTGCTCATAGCGACGCAGGCTGACGTGTTCATCGGCACGCTGGGCTCCAACTGGAGCCGCCTCATGAACGAGCTGCGCTCCACCAATGGGAGGCTCTTCAACACCTTCATTGCCCTCAATGATGGCGAGTGGTGATTTATTACCACGGGCTGGAATTGTTGATGGCATTTACCATAACAGCATCTGGGACAATCTCAAGTCTGGCGCTTTTAGTTGGGGTTTTCTTGAAGCCTGCATGTGAGTGTACATGGCCACTGCATTGCCATGCAAGTCTTGTGGTTGCTTTTTCCCAGTTGTCGTTTCTCTTAACATTCCTAAATCCATCTATTGATAGCAAAAGGTCATGCACAACAATGCTTAACCATCTACACTTTGTAGCTAGCTATATCAAGAGAAAACCTACTGTAGTTGGGTGCCATACATGCCATACATGCGTTGGGTGCCATACATCTTAGAACTTAGCAAGGAAGATGCATTAGGTGAGGGTTTGGGTACAAGAAAGAGAATGTCGAGAAAGTTTGTGTACCCCCTAGTGCTAAACCCCATACAGCCTAGACATCCTAAACAAACACATATACGGTATATATAATTTGACACACCCCCATAGGCGAAATGGGGGATAGCCAGAGCAAGCAACGGTCACAAGACCAGTCAAGAGACTAAACACAGCTCAGGTTGGATCACAACGTCACCACTCTTACTGAGCACAAGCAAACGGCCACAGGGCCAGTCCACATGCAGAGGTATATAAGCAACAAGAACAGTACAGTGATCTCTAGCTAGCAAGTGCCAACATGCAGGTATATATACATAGATCACAGTACAAACAAAGGCTACAGCAAGTGTGGAAGCGTAGGCACAAGGCCCAACAGAGTACAAAAGCGTCTTGGTGGCTTGGTGAATATATCAGAAGTGTTGGCCCGAGTGGCCACGTGGCGAAGACGAAGCTGGCCTCACTGCTGCAACTCTCGAGCCAAGAAGTAACGCAGAGCAATGTGCTTCGTTCTGTGCTCCAGTCTGTGCTCCTCACACAAGGCAATGGCCGCCTTGTTGTCAACGTACAGAACTGGAGGAGAACGAGGCCGCTCACCCAAGTCAGTCAGCAGGTAGGTGAGCCAGCGTAGCTCCTGTGCAGCCATGGCGGTGGCGTAGATCTCAGCCTCACAACTGGAACTGAGAACAGAAGACGAGCGTGTAGACCGCCAAGAAACAGAGCCAGAGCCAAGGCTGAAGGTGTAACCCTGGGACGACCGCTGTGTAGTCTGGTCGTCAACCCAAGACGCGTCTGAGTGCCCAGTGAGGACCACCTCACTCCGTCCTCCAAGCACTAGCCCCATGCCTGATGTGCTGCACAAGTAGCGCAGTACCCTCTTAGCAGCAGCCATGTGCTCAGGTCGGTGCCGACCAGGAGCTACGTAGCGAGCCAGAAGACCAAGAGGGTACGCGAGGTCAGGTCGAGTGCAAGTCATCAGGTACATGAGGCAGCCGACTAGCTCTGGGTAAGGACAACTCGGCTCTGCGGACTCGTCCGAAGGTGGAGCTGAGAGCGAGTGACCTGTCGCCAGAGGAGTGGCCTGTGCTGAAGACCAGGTGAAGCCGAAGCGCTGAAGGACCTGCTCCACCATGTGTGACTGAGTCAGGGTGATGGTGCGGCGTGCTCTGTCCCGGGTGATCTGCAAGCCAAGGTAGCTGCGCAGCTCACCCAAGTCTGTGCACGTGTGTCTCTTCTGCAGCTCCGACTTCACGTGGGCAAGAGCCTCAGTGTCAGCAGTGGCAAAAACCAAGTCGTCGACGTACACGAGGATGTAGAACGGCGGCAGTGAAGTGTCGGTGCGCAGAAACAGCGACGGGTCAGCAGTAGAAGGCGCGAACCCAAGAGCCGCAAGCGTAGTCCTCAGTGTGTCGTGCCACTCACGTGGCGCCTGGCGGAGACCGTAGACCGGCCGCCGGAGGCTCCACTGGGTACCAGGAGGGAACGACCCAGTGAAGCCCGGGGGGCGGCGCAGCCAGATCTCCTCGTGCAGGCTGCCCTGCAAGAAAGCTGTGCTGAAGTCAAGAGAGTGAAGCTCGTAGTCACGGTGAGCGGCAACGTGCAGCAGCACCCGAAGAGTGGTCATCTTCGGGGTGGGGGAGAAGGTCTGAAAGAAGTCTACTCCCTCTCGCTGACTGAAGCCTCGAGCAACGTACCGAGCCTTGAAGACAGGCGGAGAACCTGGCGGCCGCTTCACCCTGAAAATCCACATGCCACTGACGATGTTCGCCCCAGGAGGGGGAACCTCGTCGACGTAAGTGCCAGTGGACTTCCAGGATGCCATCTCTGCGTCCATGGCTGTCTGCCACTGAGAGGAGTACTCACCCGCGATCGCCTCAGCGTAAGAGCGCGGGGTCGGGATGTCTGGTGCATCCGGGTCTCCCTCAGGGGCAAGTAGCATGGCCACGAGATGGGGCGCAGCGGCTGCAAGACACTCAAGGTCCTCGTGCCTGTCCTCAAGGACGCCCCTGCCAAGAGCACACTCACCCCCGACGGACAGAGGACAGACAGACTCAGACTCAGCAACAAGACTAGCAGCGTAGTCTAGACGACAAGCAGCAGCAAAGTCAACAAGCTCAGCGACCAAGGCAGACGCAGCAGCAGACTCAAACGACGGGTCAGTGACAACAGTGGCTAGCAGACGCGTGACGGTAGGGTGCTCAGCACGAAACCGGTCAGACGCAGGGTCCGGAACGTCAGGCAGAGAGGACGCAGGGGGAGACGGCAGAGGAACAGACTGCGGAGCAGAGGAAGGACGACGGACAACAAGGTGCGCACTAGGGATAGTCGGCTGACGTAATCGAGAAACACGACGACCAGTACGACCAGAACGAACAGGCGAGACAGGACGCGACGCAGGC